CATAGTGGGCAGGGTGGGTAGGGCGGGCATGCTGGGCATAGCAGGCAGGGTGGGCAGGGCAGGCACAGCAGGCAGGGTGGGCAGGGCAGGCAGGGCGGGCATGCTGGGCATAGCAGGCAGGGTGGGCATGGCAGGCAGGGTGGGCATGGCACGCAGGGTGGGCAAGGTGGGCGGGCATAGCGGGCAGTGTGGAGAATGGGCAGGGCCTTGCCCAGCAACCACTGGGTGTCCGCCTTCAGGCACAGCTGGATCCAGCCAGGACTGCCACTTTTAAGCTGGGAGGGCGTTGGGACGGTCCCTATCGCTGGTCCCGCGTCTCCTTGGCCAGCATGGAGTCATGTGACCAGCCGTACTGGGACATGCAGTTTGTCATGGGTATTAGGGCAGCCTCAGCAGCCACTTTCTCACCTTCCTCCCGCTCTCCCTGACCCGCTCCTGCCAGTGGTGGCCGCCAATGACCTCAAGTGGCAGACCTCCGGCATCTTCCGGCCATTCATCGAGGTCAACATCATCGGGCCCCAGCTGAGCGACAAGAAGCGCAAGTTTGCCACCAAGTCCAAGAACAACAGCTGGGCCCCCAAATACAACGAGAGCTTCCAGTTGTGAGTCAGGGTGGGGGGTCAGGAGGGGTGTGTGTGTGTGTGTGTGTGTGTGTGTGTGTGTGGTCAGGTGTGTGTGTGTGTGTGTGTGTGTGTGTGGTCAGGTGTGTGTGTGTGTGTGTGTGTGTGTGTGGTCAGGTGTGTGTGTGTGTGTGTGGTCAGGTGTGTGTGTGTGTGTGTGGTCAGGTGTGTGTGTGTGTGGTCAGCTCTGTGTGTGGGGGGTCAGGCAGGTGTGTGGGGCGTGTCGTGTGGGCGTGTCCAGTGGGGGTGCTCTTGGCTGTGTGGGCGTGCCCGGGCGTGGTCTTTGTGGGCGTATCCGTGGGCGTGGTCTTGTCTGTGGGCGTGCCCCGGGGTGTGGTCTTGTCTCTGTGGGCATGTCATGTGGGCGTGCCTGGGCGTGGTCTTGTCCGTGGGCATGTCCGGTGGGCGTGTCCTGTGGGCGTGCCCGGGCGTGGTCTTGTCTGGGGGCGTGCCCGGTGGGCGTCCCAGGGCGTGGTCTTGTCTGTGGGCGTGTGCAGTGGGCGTGTCCCGGGGCGTGGTCTTGTCTGTGGGCGTGCCCGGTGGGCGTGCCCTCACCCCCGCCTCCCGCAGCTCCCTGAGCGCAGACGCGGGCCCTGAGTGCTACGAGCTGCAGGTGTGCGTCAAGGACTACTGCTTCGCCCGCGAGGACCGCACGGTGGGGCTGGCCGTGCTGCAGCTGCGCGAGCTGGCCCAGCGCGGGAGCGCCGCCTGCTGGCTGCCGCTCGGCCGGCGCATCCACATGGACGACACGGGGCTCACGGTGCTGCGCATCCTGTCCCAGCGCAGCAACGACGAGGTGGCCAAGGAGTTCGTCAAGCTCAAGTCCGACACGCGCTCGGCCGAGGAGGGCGGCGCTGCGCCTGCGCAGTAGGGCGGGATGCGGGGCGGAGTGCGCCTGCGCAGAGTGGGCAGGGCGAGGGTGCTGGGCTCCATCTGATCGCATGGAGCATGCATTCCCTGAAGGCCACGCCCAGGCGTGGGAGGAGCATAGTGTGGCCACGCCCCCTCTACAGCCCCTCCCCTCCCAAGGCCCCGCCCCTCCCAAGGCCCCGCCCCTCTGTGTCCCGCCCCTCCTGCAGGCCCTGCCCCTCCACAGGCCCCACCCTCCTGCAGGCCCCGCCCCTCTTGCCCCGCCCCTCCTGCAGGCCCCGCCCTCCTCCCACAGGCCCCACCCTCCTCCCACAGGCCCCGCCCCTCCGCAGGCCCCGCCCCTCCTGCTCCCTCAGCCGGGGATCCCTCACCTCCGACAAGCCATAAGCGGGGTCCTGGTCCCTGACCCTGGACGGGGCCCCCTGGGTCTGGCTTCCCGGACGCAGCCCAGGGTGATGGTCGCTGGCCGGGTCGGGGGTGGGAGAATGCGACTTCACAAGCACATGCGCCCTCAGGCGCCCACACACGGGGTACTCCACCCTCACCCCACCTTCCCCAGCACCCCCATCCGGCGGGCGGCAACACGGAGGCCCCTGCCGGACTCCCCCCACAGGCCTGCTGCGGTTCGGGGACCCCCCTACCCCGGCACAGCTGCCTAATGCTGCTATCCCCTACCCCACCCTGATTCCTGCAAGGGCCTGAGCCAAGGGTGCCGCGGTGTCCCCCTCCTCTGCCTGGCGGGATGGTGGGGTGCTGGGGTGGGGTACCCACTGAGGACACGTCATCTCGCAAAGGGACTTGGACCCTGGCGGCTCCCAGCCTTTCTTCCCATTCGGGGAATAATCCAGGCAGGAAAGACAAGAAAGAGACCACACAAATTCCAGGGGTGCGCATGTGCGTGTGTGTGTGTGTGTGTGTTCCTGTGGAGGGGACCCCAAGAGCAGCCCAGGCATGCGCAGGGAGCCTCAGGGAGTATTTATAGAGTGTTTCTGGCTCCCAGGATAGATTGGTTTTGAAAAGCCCTTGCCCAGAAAACTCCTACTCAACCTTTAAAACCCATCGCCCCTAACCCACCCTGTAGAATACTCTCTCTCTCCCCATTTGGGAGCAGCCCAGGCATGCCCCACCCTCCTCCTGCAGTGCAGCCCTGAAGCCATAGCACTCGGGGAGATGGCAGGTGTCTGTCCCCCCAACCCAGGCCGAGTGGAGTGAAGAGAGATGGGCAGGCAGCAAGGGGCCGGGGGCATGGCCAGGTCAGGGCCGGCTGGGGGTGAGGGGGGAGCCCTCGGGGTGCACGCCCTTGCCCACATGTGGGATGGGGGTTCTGAAATGAGGCCACCCACCCAAGAGGAACTGAAGGGGACACGGAGACCCTCGGGGACAAAGCCAGTCCCAGGACTCCGTGTCCCTACAACATCTGTCCACTCAGTGGACGTGCAGAAGACGAGGAAGGAGAGACATCCTCCCATCCCCCCTCAGGCTTCACAACCTGAGGCGCCTCACATGCCCCAACCCCATCAGACATGCAAAAAAACTTTAACACCGAGCTAGAAATCCTCTCTCTCTCTCTCTCTCCCCACTCTCTCGGCTGGGACCCCAGTGCCACCCCTTCTCTTCCCCCCACCCTGCTGCACCTGTCCACACTGTCCCACTCGACAGGTGCACCCACTGAGAGCTGGTCAGCCTGGAGCTCAGTGTGGAGGCGAGGGGAGGGGAGTGGGGGTGCTGGAGCCCAGATCACGACCCCCCAGACCACATCCCCACGTCCCAGCCCTTCCCAAGAATCCTGACGGACCAAAGTCATCCCTGCACATATGTGTGGCTTTTTGCTTTGCCTTTTTTGTTGTTCTGTTTTTGAAAGACAGCAAGTTCACAGGTGGCAACTGTGACCCCCCCCTTCCACCTTCTAAGCCCCTTCCCCACCTGGCCCAACCAGCAGGGGCTGGGACCCCACTTGGTCCACCATCCAGGGATGGCCGGCCTCTTCCGCACTCCCTTCTCTTAGCATGTAATTGCAGACGTAAAATCAAAACACTGGTTCATGATTTCTTTTATATATATATATATAATTCCTCCCTGTCGGTCTGGCGTCTGCCTCGAACCCACAATCCTCTGTACATATGTGACTTGGGAGCACCTGTTTCCGGCCCACAGAACCTGTTCTGAATGCATGGTGTGGAGCCATTTTGCACTTCTCTTTTTGGTCTCTGTAAAAATATTTTATTAACAGCCAACATTAAAAAAAGAGGAAGAAAAAAAAAAACATGGCCTCCGAGGTGTCCTGTCCTTCTTGTCTTCCTATCTGAGCAAAAAAAGGAACAAAATCCTACGTAGCCTCAACTAAATGTAGATGCTACCACCCACTCGAAAGAAACCAGCAACCCCATTTTCCAGCTAAGTAAACTGGGGCTTGAGAGGCAGGGCCTTGTCCAGGTCAGACAGTTGGAGAATGGTGTTGGTGTTGGGTAGAAGTTGCTTGAAACTGCAAAGGCCTGAGGTGCAACTCCCACTCCAATGCAAGCTCCTTCCCCGTCGTCTGGTTGACTTGACCCCCAAATGCAACAGCCAGGAACCAGGAGCTCCATCTGGGTCTCCCATGTGGGTGCAGGGATTGAAACACCTGAGCCATCATCTCCTGTCCTACAGAGTGATCCCTGGTCCAGCTCTCACCCATGATGGACAGGTGTGGAATGACTGGACCAGGGCAACACAAGTTCAGGTTACCAAGAGAGCTGAGGTGGAGGTGGTACAGAAAGGGGAGAACAGAGGGTATGTCTGGGTCACATCAGTGCCCAGTGCTGCCACCAGGGGGCAATCATGACCCGGGTTCTGCCCTATGGTAAAGGATGGCAGTGTCCAGTGCTGCCACGAGGGGGCACTCATGACCCGGGTTCTGCCCTATGGTAAAGGATGGCAGTGTCCAGTGCTGCCACGAGGGGGCACTCATGACCCGGGTTCTGCCCTATGGTAAAGGATGGCAGTGTCCAGTGCTGCCACGAGGGGGCGGCCATGACCTGGGTTCTGCCCTATGTTAAAGGACGGCAGTGCTCAGTGCTGCCACGAGGGGGCGGTCATGACCCGGGTTCTGCCCTATGTTAAAGGACGGCAGTGCCCAGTACTGCCACGAGGGGGCGCCCCTGACCCAGGTTCTGCCCTATGTTAAAGGACGGCAGTGCCCAGTGCTGCCACCAGGGGGCGGTCATGACCTGGGTTCTGCCCTATGTTATAGTACGGCAGTGTCCAGTGCTGCCACGAGGGGGCGCCAGCGAGCTCTCCTGCTCGACCTGCTGCCCTATCGGCTCAGGAGCGCCCCCTTCGGGTCCCTGCCCGACCTCCCCCTGGACGGCTGTGTGGGGAACAGCCCAGTGAGGTCTGTTCTCTGATCCCGGCACTTCCAGGCCGGACAGGGACACGAGGCTGTCCCAGCACCCCACCCGATGCCCGTGACCCTGCCTGCCTTCCTCAACCCCAGGCCATCCCGGGCTCTGGCACGCGCCAAGACCACAGATGTCAGTTAAAACCCACGAGGAACATTTAATAGTCATAAAATATCAACAGCAGCCATTTCCAGGTCTGCGCAGCACACCGAGGTCATCCTGCCGTAGGGGCGGGGCTGAAGGCACAGCGGGGTCAGGACTCCGCCCCCCAGCACCCCGGGCAGAGAGGCGCCGGGGGAGCCCAGCCCTGGCGAGCCCTGACCCCCATCCTGCCCCACACGTGTGCAACGCCACCGGGGCGTGAAGCACGCGGGGCCGGGTGGGCCAGGGGCAGCTCAGCCCCCGTTAGCACTCCTGCAGGCAGCCTGGGTGGGGCACAGCGCCCCTGCGTCCCAGGAGGAGGTGGTGGGGGCTGTGACTGCCAGCTGCACACGGGGTGGGTGCGGGGAGATGGAAGTCACTGATTCTCCAGGCAGACTGGGCATCCGTGAGGGCTGGCACACAGCAGGAACGGCATACACGCAGTCATGAAACCGTGTCAGCAGCAGGCGCCCACTCCGCGTGCCACATCGCAAACAGATTTGTGTGAGCAGCGCCCGGCCCCCTGCAGGGAGGCCCTGCGTATTGCCGAATCAACCAGAGTGTCTGCACTCCATTCCCAGACAGCGCGTGTCTTCAATAAATACCGAGTGATTGCAATGCAGTGCGTGTGTGACGAGAGCAGGTCCCACCGTCTCATCAGAAACCCCCTCGGGTCCCGCGGACCCCAGGGTGCCCGACGCTAGCCGGGCCCGAGAGCAGGTGCAGGGGGAGGACGCGGCTGCAGCCCCAGGCCGTGTCCCTGATGGTCTGGATGCCCGTGCGTGAGGCTCCGCAGGCCGGTGCCTCCCCGGAGGCTGTGCCAGCCCAGTGCGTGGCAGCTGCCAGTCTGAACGAGGCTGGCACCCGAGGGCCTCTCAGAGCTTACGGCGGGGCAGCCCTGGCAGGTGGCCCGTGGCAGGTGCGTCTCCCGGGGGCAGGCTGGGCTGGCCCACGGCAGGTACCTCCCTGGGCGAGGCTGGCACCCCAGGGCGGTTCAGAGCTCGTCGCGCGCAGCGCTGTCCAGCGGGGACTGCAGCACGTCCGAGTTCGTGGCCTCGCGGCTCAGCGCCTGCTGCTCGCGCATCTTCTGGGACTTGGCGCGGTCCCAGTCGGTCTTGACCTGCTCGTTGTTCCACAGCACCGAGGTCTCCGTGTCGCTCACGTAGCCGTCGTCGCCCGTGTAGTGCGTCGGGTAGACGAGCAGCGGCTCCACGGAGAAGGCGCGCAGCGTGCGTGGAGAGAAGTGGGCTTTGTACTCGGACCTGCGAGGGGACGAGGAGAGGGTGCGAGGTGGGCAGGGCCGGGCCTCGAGCCCCCAGCCCCCAGCCCGCCAGCCCCCAGCCCGCCAGCCCGCCACTCACACCGGGTGCTTGTCGAACATGACCGGCAGGAACTCGTCCACCGGCAGCATCTTGGACAGCGGCTGGGCGGCCAGCAGCTTGCGCGCGCCTTGCAGGGAGAGCACGTAGGCCAGCGTCCAGTACGAGTAGTCGGCCTCCACCAGGTTCCGCACGCGCGGCACGGCCTTCTCGGGCTGTTCCACTTGCATGCGCTTCCGGCCCACGTAGCTGGGGTGCAACGAGAGCCAGGCCGGCGCCCCATCAGAAGGTCTGGCCACACCCTCAGGGCAGCATCGCAACAGGCCACGCCCCGGACACCACGTGGGCCCGCAAGCCACGCCCAGGACTGGCCTGGGTCAGCCCCATGCCCCTCGGCCTGGCCACGCCCACACCTGACCATGCCCCAGCCACACCCACGACACTGACCACACCCACAACACTGGCCACGCCCACACCTGACCAGGCCCATGGCACTGACCACGCCCACAGCTGACCACGCCCTGACTGACCACACCCACAGCTGACCATTCCCCAGCCACACCCATAACTGACCACACCCATGACACTGACCACGCCCACAGCTGACCCGACCCACGAATGCTGACCACGCCCTGACTGACCACACGCCTGGCCCAGTCCACAGTGCTCCGAGCTCTCATCCCGGCGGCCCTGGCAGACGTGCCATGACAGGTGCGTCCCCCGGGGCGCCGAGCCGTCACTCACATGAGGTCCCAGTCCAGCCCTTCCCGCTCCACGTCCCGCAGGAGGTTCATCAGACGCCTCTTAAAGAAGATCTCGAAGCGAAGGTCATCCTCAAACACCAGCGACTTCTGCAGGCCGCGGTCGACCACCTGGGGCAGGGAGGGCACGCCTACCGTCAGCGGGGAGGCGGCAGACTCCCATCCCACACTCCGGCCCTGGGCTCTCCCCTTCCCACGACGCGAGCTGTGATGGCGGCCCCGGGCCCTGGCCTTGGCCCAACACGAGTGACCGTGGGCCCTGGCCTTGGCCCGACGCGAGTGACCCTGGGCCCTGGCCTTGGCCCGACATGAGTGACCGTGGGCCCTGGCCTTGGCCCAACGTGAGTGACCGTGGGCCCTGGCCTTGGCCCGCCCCGGGCACCCACCTCCTTCCAGATGTTGTAGTGGCTCAGGAAGCAGCCCAGCTCGCCCTTGGTGAGTGGCCGGCCGTGGTAGGGGTCCTTGTAGCCTGGCAGCATCTGGATGCCCAGAGCCTCCACCTGGCTTGCGTTCATGGTCCTGAAAAGACGGGCAGCAGGGAGGCCCACGTCATGGCACGGCACGCTGAGCCAATGCCTGTGGCACCGGCAACCCACAGGGGCACTGCTTCACTTCCATGCCAGCTCCCTGCGCACGGAGCTCCCAGCTGACACCTGGCCCTCACCCCGCGGGGGACCCGGAAGGAGCTCCTGGCTCCTGGCTGTGTGGTCATTTGGGGCGTGAAGCTGCTCATGGGAGATCTCTCTTTCCAAATAACCTAACCTTATCGCAGAGGAAGGAGGAGGCAGTCCCAAGGTGCGCCTACCCCTGCGGGCAGACCCCAGGGACTCCCCTCCCACGGCCCCCCACCTGCAGGGTCCACCCCGTCTCCAGGCCAGTCACACTCCCGGCCAGACCCACTGCCCCTCCACGGCTGCCCTCGGAACGCTGGGACTCGCCTCCCCCAGGCCTGGACTCGCATCTCCCCTGACCGCCCACGTGAGACCCCAGGCCTCTGGGCCTCTCCTGGGTCAGGACCCATGGTCCCCCAACAGGCCCTGTGCCAGCACATGGCGAGCCCAGGGCTGACCCCACCTCACAAGCCACCACAGGCCACGCCCCCACCGGCCACACCCCCACCGGCCACACCCACCACAGACCACGCCCCACAGGACACGCCCCACAGGACACACCCCCAACAGGACCACACCCACAGGCCACGCCCCCACAGCCCATACCCCCTGCCATGGACCACGCCCCACAGGCACGCCCCCAGCACAGGCCCCACCCACCGCCTGGCCCCGCCCACTCACTTGCCGTCCACGGCCTCCACCAGCCGGCACTCAATCTCTTGCTCCTGCAGCGCCCGCAGCATGCGCTCCCGCCGGTCCTGCCGCCGCTTCAGGTTGATCATGAAGACCTGCAGCCAGAGGCAGGCTCGCTCGCTGGACGCCAGGGCCGGGGTCCTACACCCACCCCCGGGGTCCACACCCACACCCTGGGGTCCGCACCCACACCCCGGGGTCCACACCTACACCCTGGGGTCCTGCACCCACCCCTGGGGTCCAGGTCCACACCCACCCCTGGGGTCCTGCGCCCACCCCTGGGGTCCTGAGCCCACCCCTGGGGTCCTGCGCCCACTCCTGGGGTCCTGCGCCCACCCCCGGGGAGGGCCCGGCTCACCCACCCCTGGCTGGGGTCCTGCACCCACCCCGGCTCACCTCATCGAAGCCCATCTTGTCCGGCGTCTTGGCGGGCACAGAGATGAAGCGTGAGGGCTCCACCGGGGGGTGCTTCACTGCAGAGGGGCAGGGGCAGGTGGGCGTGGGGCTGTCAGGGTTCACCCACCTACTGGCCCAGCCTCATCCCGGCCCGACCTATCCACACTCAGGGCTCAGCTACCCTGCACGAGGCTGATGTGGCTCTCATGGGGAGCTGCCCCCTACAGCACCCCCAGCCTTATCCTTCCAGAACCCCCCAAAACATGCCCGGGCTGCGCTGTCTGGACGCCACCTCCTCCAGGAAGCCCGCCCTGGGTGCACGGGGAGCCAGCCGCAGGGACTCACCCATCACCTCCAGCTGCGTGTGCATGAAGCTCTCCGCCTCGTCCTGCAGGGAGCTGTGGGCGCGCAGCGGCACGGGCAGGAAGCCATACACCTCCTTATTGCACACGTACATCTGCACGTCTGTGGGACCACAGCAGGGCGCCCCGTGAGCGGCAGGCACAGGGTGGCAGAAAGTTCTAGAACCACTCCCAACTGCCCCCAGCGGGTACTGAACCAGGGAGCGAAGCTGACATCCTGACAGCAGTGGAGGGTTTAGCGGGGACGCCTGCACCAGTTCATGTCCCGGCTGCTCCACTTCCCGCCCAGCTCCCTGCCTGTGGCCTGGGAAAGCAGTGGAGGACGGCCCACAGCCTGGGGACCCTGCACCCGCGGGGGAGACCCAGGAAAAGCTCCTGGTCGGGCCTGGCCCAGCCCTGGCTGCTGTGGGCACTGGGGGCATTCTGTAACAGGTATTGACGAGCTGGGGGTAGGAGAGCGGCCGCGGCAGGCAGCCCTCTGGGCGCGTGAAGCGGCCGGTCACGCACCCGCCTGCTTGCAGGAGAAGGCGAAGACAATGATGTCATCGAAGGCCCACGTGTAGTCGGGGTGGGGCGGGTAGAAGGCCAGGTGGCGCGAGGCGGCCTTGCGCAGGTCCACGAGGAAGGTCGAGTGCACCATGGGCACCGCGAAGCAGCCGCGGCGCTCCCGTTTGCGGATGGGGATGTAGGCGGGCGTGCGCCGGTAGTAGCCCTGGGCGGGAGGCAGGCGCTGAAGCTGCGGGGACGCACGCACGCACGCACCCAGGATCGCACACTTCCACACGCACGCTGAGGCTGTGGGGACGCACGCACCCAGGAACGCACACTTCCACTCGCACACTCAGGCTGCGGTGACCCATCCATGCACGCTGAGATGCACGCGTACCCACGCATGTACGCACACCCCCACGCACGGCAGGCCCGAGGCACTGCACAAGTGCCAATCAACACGCCAGCAAACGGGAGGGCAGAGGGAGGTGGGCTCCTCGGAGACAGGCCTAGAAGCTTCTTGAACCATCTAGAATCTGTTTCCAAGGTCTTTGTGCCCTTTATAAAAGAACAATCAGTTCTACGATTTATGTCACTTCAAAATGGCGACCAGGAGGCTGGTGTGAGGACAGCATGGGGGTACACCACTGCTGTGACACTGGGATCACACACGGGCGCCAGTTCGAGTCCCAGGAGCCCCACTTCCCCTCCAGCTCCCTGCCTGTGGCCTGGGAAAGCAGTGGAGGACGGCCCACAGCCTCGGGACCCTGCACCCGCGGGGGAGACCCAGAAGAGGCTCCTGGTTGCCACTGGGGTCAGCCCCCCCACCTGTGAGGTCACCCCTACCTGGGAGGTCATCCCGCACCAGAAGTTGGAATATGCAGCACGCGAGTCCAGCATCGGGGCCACCACCGTCTTGTTCTCAGCTATGAGCAGGCTCAGCGTGTCCGGGTGCAGGAGCAGGTTGTCAGCATCTACATACTGGCAGACAGGGTAGGGGGGCAGTGGCTGTCACAGCTCGGGGTGCCCAGGGGAGCCGGGCACAGGGGGTGTCACAGCTCAGGGCTTCCTGAGAAGCAGGGGATGTCAGAACTCACGGCTGCTCCAGAGAGGCCAGAGCAGGGGGAGAGGGAGGGAGAGAGAGGGGAAGAGACAGACAGACATCTTCCCCCTGCAGGTCCCCTGCCAGACGGCCAGGGCTGGGAGGCGGGTGCTGCAGCCGGCTCTGCCTCACAGGTGCAGGTCCACACGCCTGAGTCGGCCCCGGGAGCACGCGTGCCCAGGGAGCTGGCTTGCATCTGCTCCCACGTGGCAGACGCCGGTGGAGCTCCCGGCCGCTGGGGTATCAGGGAGAGTGGGTTAAAAGGTGCAAGCTCTCTCTCTGGCTCTCCGACAAGACAAAAATCAAGTCAACTTTTTTCACGGCGCAGGGTCCTGACCTTTGCTAGGCACCACAGGCATGGACCGGTTCCGGATCCAGAGTGACAGGGGTCAGGCCACACCAGGCCACATGGCGAGTGACCCCCATGACAGGAAAGCCCGCAGCCTGCCAATCCACAACACGGGAGCCAAGGGCTGACTGCCGGGCTGGGGGAGGAGGCTGGGGAGGCGGGGAATGTTCTGGAACTAACCCAGGGCTCGCTGAACCACATAATGAGCATATGATGGGCAGCTGAACTGTACCCCTCACCAAGGTTAATTTGACGTTCTGCGATTGCACTCAATTAGGACAAACAAAACAAATCCCACAGCACAATTAGAGCGAAGGCCCTGGAGCCGCAGAACCCGGCCCACAGCAGGCAGTGTGCTGTGCCTGGAATGGCCCATGGGGCGCTGGTTCGAGTCCCGGCTGCCCCACTCCCCACCCAGCTCCCTGCCTGTGGCCTGGGAAAGCAGTGGAGGACGGCCCAAAGCCTTGGGACCCTGCACCCGCGTGGGAGACCAAGAAGAGGCTTCTGACTCCTGGCTTCAGATTGGCTCAGCTCTGGCTGTTGCGGCCACTTGGGGAGTGAACCAGTGGATTGACGATTCTCTCTACTGTCAAATAAATGAGTGTTGTACTATTTTTTTTAAGAAATGAATCTCTTTGAGCTAGAAAACAGTTTTGTTTACTTGCCGAACTTGCAGATAATATTCCCACAAACAGCCACGGCTTTTGGAAAAAGAAAAAAAAAAAACAAACTTTCCTGTAACGGCTTTCTAAACTTTAGCGTCCAGGGGTGGGGACCATCCACAGTATCGTGTGGCCTGGCCCTGCCAAGGCAAGAGCAGACAGCCCAGGGTGGCCCCGGTGCTCGTGGTCGCAGGGCCCAGGCAGCCCAGCAGCGCCGGCGGCCGCCACAGCCCACCGGGTGACACACGGAAAAAGTCAATGTGGTGTCAAAAGCGGCTTTGAGTTTTCAGCCAACACCTTGAATTCCACTGGGGAGATGGCAGGAGAAAAAAATAGCAAACATCAGGCAACCACAGAAGCAGAACAAGGTGGCTCTGTTCTGGAAGGTTCCAGAAAATTCCAGAAGCTGCGGCAGCCACTTTTGTGCCTCACGCAGTTGAGTCCTGAGACCCAGGAGTCCAGCGTGGCACAGGGGCCACTCTGTGTGTGTGTGTCCACCCGCAGCCCACTCCCCAAGCCCACCTTCCCTCCCCCACATGGCCCCTGCCCCCCAGGGGTGCCCCCATCTTGCAGCCACAGGCCAGTCTGAAAAACTCAGCCACCAGACTCCGGTCCCTCCCGTTCTCACGCCTTCCGTGGCTCCCGAGTGCCCACCCAGGCAAAGCCCCTGCCAGCACCCACTCTGGACCACCTCTCCCCCAGCCACGTCAGCACCCTTGGGCGCCCTTCCTGTCCCCGTGCCCCCACTGCGGGCCTCTCCTTGAGCAGCCCCCCCACCCGCCCTGCCGCTGTGGACTGGAAGCTGGTGGCCACAAGAACGCACAGGCTGGAGCCCCAACCCCTGGGTGGGCACTGTGACCACAAAGGCGCCAGTTCATATCATGGCGGCTCCACTTCCCCTCCAGCTCCCTGCCTGTGGCCTGGGAAAGCAGTGGAGGACGGCCCACAGCCTGGGGACCCTGCACCCGCGTGGGAGACCCGGAAGAGGCTCCTGGCTCCTGGCTCTGGGTCGGCTCAGCTCTGGCTGTTGCGGCCACTTGGGGAGTGAATCAGCAGACACTCCCCTCCTGCTCTCCTCTTTCTTTAAAATAAACAAAAGCCAAAGAAATACAGAAGAGATGAGCAGGTGGGCGGGAGGCTGTGGGGATTGAGCAAGCGTTCCCAGCCCTGTGCGGGCACGGAGGAAGCAGAAGTGAGGCCCTGGGACAGCCCCCATCCGGCCTGACCCTCACTTCCCACACACGCCCAGAAGGTGCCAGCACGGGCTGCCATGCCCTGCAGAGGCCACCACTGCACTGTCCAGCTGTGGACACCCACCCGCCTGCTCCTCACTGCTCAAACCCTGCCCTAGCACCCTGGGGGGGCAGGGCAAGGGGAGCAGGACGGGGACCCCAGGGGGCACAGGATGAGGTTCCCAGCACTCTGGGGGAATGGGACCAGGACCCCAGGACCCAGAGTGAGGGCAGGATGAGGACCCCAGGACCCTGGGGGGAGTGGGGAAAGGACCCCAAGACCTCAGCAACCTGGGAGAAGCATCGCCAAGACCCCGGGGGATCAGAGCAAAGACCCCAGGGGAACAGGACCAGGATCCCAGCCCCTGGAGGGGGAGCCAGGACCGCAGGACCGCAGCTCCAGGGACAGGCAGAATCAGGACCCCAGGACCACAAGGGGCAGAGCCAGGACCCAGAGAGTGGGCTAGGTGGTCAGGAGCAGCCCCTCCGCAGCCCCTCCCCAGCCTCCATCCAGCCCTGCTTACCAGGATATAGTCGGCCCACATGTCCCGGGCAGACTTGAGGGCCGCCTGGCGCAACTTCATGACGTGCTCATAGCGGGAGTCGGACCAGTGCTTGGGGCCCTCCTCGTCCGGGTAGGACCTGCGGGGGGGGGGGGCACAGACCCTAAGCGGGGGGGTCCCCAAGGGCTTCCCGGAGGAGGAAGAGTGAATGGGGAGGCTGAAAGTCCCGCCTCCTGCAGCTCACAGTCCGCCCGAGGCAGCCGGGCACTCACCGGGGCTCCTCGGCTGGCCGCCACTCCACCGAGTGGTACCCGCTCTGCACGGCCACCAGCCACTCCCGTAACACGGCCGTCGTGTTGTCCGCGTTGTGGTCTGTGGCCACCCTGCCAACACACGGGGACAGGGACACTGAGGCAAGGCCGGGCCACTGGCCGCTCCCTGACCCCTCCTGGCCTGGGTTAGGGCCCTCCCCACTCCAGGCCAAGGTCTCCCTATGAAGAAACCACACATTGACTGAGCTTTTTTTTTTTTCTTTTCTTTTAAGATTTATTTATTATTATTAGAGAGGCAGAGGAAGATCTTCCATCACTGGTTTATTGCCTAAGTAGCCGCAATGGCTAGAGCTGAGCCAATCCAAAGTCAGGAGCTAGGAGCCTCTTCCGGGTCTCCCCCGCGGGTGCAGGGTCCCAAGGCTGTGGGCCGTCCTCCACTGCTTTCCCAGGCCACAGGCAGGGAGCTGGGTGGGGAGTGGGGCTGCCGGGATTCGAACTGGCGCCCCTATGGGTTGCTGGCCCCACAGGACAGAGGACTAGCCTGCTCTGACACCACTCCTCCCCCTAACAGGGACTCTTTCGCACAGGCGCGTTCGTGCCTGTTGAATTTATCCCTCCCATCTGGGATCCTGTGCCATGTGGCTTATCAAACACAGACATCAATAAAAGCAAGGTCAGACTCCGCAAGCCCGGACCCATCGTTCCTTTTCTGGTGCGTGGGTGAGGGCGCCTCACGGCCACCGGGCATCTGTGTGGGTGAGGGCACCTCACGGCCACCGGGCATCTGCGTGGGTGAGGGCGCCTCACGGCCACCGGGCATCTGCGTGGGTGAGGGCATCCACAGGAAGAGAGGGGCCCACACCTCGTTCTCCACAGCTCCACCATGACAGTCACAGCAAAGAACAACAATGTTAAACATAGTAGCCCTGCGGGCTCAGGGGAGTCCTCGCCTTGCATGGCTGGGATCGTACAGGGGCACCTGTTCGAGTCCCAGCTGCTCCACTTCCCATCCAGCTCCCTGCCTGTGGCCTGGGAAAGCATCAGAGGACGGCCCAAAGCCTTGGGACCCTGCACCTGCACATGGGAGACCTGAAAGAGGCTCAGGGCTCTTGGCTTCGGATCGGCTCAGCTCCAGCCACTGCAGCCACTTGCTGAGTGAGCCAGGAGACAGAAGATTTTTCTCTGTCTCTTCTCTGTAAATCCGCCTTGCCAGTAGAAATGAAGAAATCTTAAAAAAAGTTTACTTGAGTGTAAAAAACTTCTCCAATAAGAAGGAACTACAAAAACCCCTCAAATTCATTTTCCTACCCACTCTTTGCATCACAGCCCACGGGGCCAGCAGGCTGGGCTCACGCGTGGACACAGCCCACATGAGCAGCGGGCAGGGAGCCGCCCTAATCACGGGCAGTGGACAGGGTTTGTGCATGGAGACACTGCACAGGGCCAGGAGGCAGCTCACATGTGGACACTCTGCAGGCAGGCAGGGTCTCCCGTGGACACTCCCACGCGGGCAGCGGTCCCTCATGCCACCTGCCCCCTGTGCCCACCCTGACCCCCAGCCCCTGCCCTCTGCCCAGGCTCCTGGTCCCCTGCCCCGCTCCCATGCCCCCCACCCCCGCGCCCACCCCGGCCCGTGGTCACCCCGGCCCGTGGTCACCCCCGCCCCGTCCCCGCCCCGCGCCCTCACCACAGCGCCGTGCGCTCCCGCGGGTGCCGCAGCCTCTCCAGGGCGCCCAGCGTGGCCGGCAGCGCGTGGGCCGAGTTGCGGGCCAGCAGCGCGATGAGGACGCGCGGGGCCTGCAGCGGCGACTCGGGGCTCCAGCGCTCCTCGGGGAAGTAGGCGGCGGCGCCGGGCGGGCCCCGGGGCGACAGCGCGATCAGCAGCGCGCCCAGCAGCCCGGCCAGCAGCGCGCCCGCCGCCATCGCGCCACGCGTCGCCTTTAAGCCGCGTTTCTGCCGGCCGACGCGAGCCGCGCCCCGAGGCCCCGCCCTTTAAAGGGGAGGAGCGCGCCGGCCGGGGCGTCCCCGCGCACGCCCCGCCCGCCTCCCCGGCGCCTTTAAGGGCCCCGGGCGCCACTTTCCCTCCGACCGGGCCCGCATGACGTCACCCCGCTTGGAGGCTGCTTTGGGGGGCTCAGTGGGGTGGGGGTGACCCGCGGGATGCTGGCTCAGGGTTCCCAGAGAAACGTGCCAGTGTGCCTCTCGCTTTGCAGCCATCTAAGTATTGTATTTGTAAAAATTTTATTATTATCATTATTATTATTTTGCTTGTAGAGCGCTCTTACTGGCTAAGCCCCCACCCCAAAGACGCACATCCAGCCAGGGCTGGCCTGGGCGAAAGCAGGGAGCAGGCTCTCCCACGTGGCTGGCAGGGACCCCAAGCACTGTGCACCTTCAGGGAGCTGGGATTCGAACCCGGGCACCCCGAGGTGCTGCCTAACCAAGCCGGCCGCGGGGGTGTGGGGGCAGGCGGGCAGGTGGACCCCTTTTGTTCAGTGGTGAATCCCAGCAGGGCCACCACCACCATCTGGAAGACATCAGATCCCACACCCCCTGGCAGCTCTCCCCCAGCGCCCAGCGAGGAAGGGGAGGGCGGACACGCTGCGCGCAAGGCCGGCTGCAGCAGGCACAACCCGGAAAGAACATTCCAGAAGGCTGCAGCTGACGGGGAGGCTGTCAAGAAGCTGAGCTCAGGGAAACAGGCAGGAAATGCTGCTGGAACTGGCTGGAACCCGCCGGAAGCGGCTGCAGAGCGCGTGTGACACGATCAACTGCCAAGTCCTGCGCTTCCCTTCCAAGCAGACCACGCCGGCTAGCAGAGCCCGGAAACAGGACGGCACGTTCAGCTGGGGCGGGGAGCCAGCCAGACCCCACAGGTGCCAGTAAGCAGAGAAAACCCCAACCAGCCACAGCCGAAATGCAAAGGAGCGATCACCCCCAAAAATGTAGGAGAGCGGAAAGCAGACAGGCGATGGGCAAAGGAGCACGTGGTAGGGAAGATTTGTTTATTTGGATTGCAAAGTCAGATATACAGAGAGGAAGATCTTCTGTCCACTGGTTCACTCCCCAAGTGGCTGCAAACGCCGGAGCTGAGCCAATCAGGAACCAGGAGCCACTGGGATACCATATGGCCTTTGGTTCAAGTCCCGGCTGCTCCACTTCCCACCCAGCTCCCTGCCTGTGGCCTGGGAAAGCAGTGGAGGACGGCCCAAAGCCTTGGGACCCTGCACCTGCGTGGGAGACCTGGAGGAAGAGGCTCCTGGCTCCTGGCTTCAGATCTGCTGAGCTCCGGCCATTGCGGTCACTTGTGGAGTGAATTGGCGGATTCACTTTGGCCATCACCCCCTGCTGGCTGCCCAGGTGCCCACCAGGGAGCTGGAGTCTATAGCAGGACTTGAACCCATATGCCCTAAGGGGGAGGCAGACGTTCCGCAGGCGATTTCACCACTTTCTGCATTCAGCATCCATGCCACATGCTTAGGGAAGGCCAGCAAAGTCTGTCCAGCTTCAACACAGATGCGGCTTTATTTAATAATAATAAAAAAAGTCTTTCCAGGCCTGGGTCCGTCGGCGCCAGCAGGTGCACCAGCCTACGCGCATGCGCGACCACCCTAGGCGCATGCACGGTCCGCTCTGCAAGACATCAGCTGCGAGTGGGAATGACCGAAAAAGAAACGAAATATCCAACAGTTAACTGCCCGGGCCCTGGATTCCAGGAGCCGAGCTCCAAACCCCGTGTCCCTAGCCCCAACGCGCCCATTCCTGACGCCCCCAGCCCCAGCAGGCCTCACCTGCTCACCCCCTCTGGGTTCCACGGGGTGTCCAAGCAGCCAGCACCCTGGGCAGCTGCCAGTTCTAAAACAAGAGGCAAGTTGCCCCTGAACAAACCAGGAAGGGTGATGTGTGTGGGAGTCCTGGGGGAGCCACCCTCCGACCCCCGACACGGCCACCACTCGCTGGCCGGCTGTGCACACATCACAGCGCAAGCAGCTCACTCCACACCTCGCAGGACTGGGAGTGGGAGGTGAACGGGACTGCCCACCCCCCCACGAAGCAAGGCTCACCCAGGTCGATCCGCTCGCTCAGGGCAGCCTGGATCACGTCCACACAGACGCCCTCAACGGTCAGGGCCTGGGTGCTGCTCACAGCGGCCAGCACACCCCCCTCGGCCTCGGCCAGCTCCTGGAACCACAGCAGGGGAGGGGCTGGGCCCCAGCAGGCCCCTGCTGGCTCTCCACTGGGAATCCCCCTCCTGCCGGGCACTTCTTGAAGGTTCTGAGCTCCTGAGTCACCCAAGGGCCCCCAGTCCTGGGTAGTGGCCAAGCCCTCCTTCCCGGCCACACAGCCCCCTCCAGGTCCCTCCCGTCGGCCCCCGGTTCCTTGCACCTCCCAGAACCAGTGGCTGTTTCACGGCGGTGCTGGCCTCCCCACAGAGACCCCCAGGGTGGTGGGTTCCCCTGCCTGCCCCCCGCCCCACGGGACTCACCACCTTGCTGCCCGGCTGTAGCCGGCTCAGCAGGAAGGGGAGGAAGATGTGAGACAGGCAGCCGCAGGTGAACTTGCGCTGAGCCGCCCTGCTGTCCGACTCGAACTTCTGCAAGGAACAGCCAGCAGCCGGTGGGTCTGTGTGTCCATCCACCCGCTGGCCAGTGGTGTTCCGCCCACGCAGGTGCCACGCACCTTCAGCACACGGCCCTGCACTTTCTCCAGCTGCCCAGCGGCCTGGTTGCGGTCCAGGGCCGAGGTCAGACACTGGTCAGCCAGCTGCAGGAAGGTGGCCACGGCGTTGGCCATGAGCTGTGGGGAGAGGGGAGCGTGAGGCTGGCATCCCGTGCGTCTCTCCCACACATGTCCCTGTCGGTCACCCCGTCACCAGGGGCCCAGGTCACTGTGGCCTCGCAGCCTGCCCTGCCTCACTTGCTGTGCCAGGTCCTGGGCCCCAAACACCAGGCCCCGCATGCCCAGGAAGCCGAACGGGGACAGCAGCTGCTCCAGGTGCTTCTGGCTGCGCTCTGCCTCCCGGTAGCACAGCTGCATCGTCTCGGGGTCCCAAGGGATCTCCCCGAAGGTGTAGACCTGGGGTGGGGGTGGATGGGGACAGTGAGGCAGAGGCAGGGCCTGGGGTAGAGACAAGGGCAGCCTGAGGCCAGCTGAGGCTCACCTCCCGGCGGAGCCGCTCTCCGGATGGGGTCCGGCGCAGCCGCCGAGAGAGGCGCTCCATGGCCTGGGCCAGCAGGCCTCGCACAGCCCCCAGCGTGGCCTCCATGGCGCTCCACAGTGTGTGCACCACCCGAGGCAGCTGCGGGTCCACCTCCCGGCACAGGCACGACTCCAGCTGGACCTGGAGATGGGCTGCCAAGTGGGCAGGAGCGGGAGGACTGGCCGGGGGTCCACAGGGCCCCAAGTCGCCCCCAGGCCCCTCTCCACTGAAGCTTGGCGCAGCGGGGATTCGAACCCCCGGCCTCTGCCCCTGGTGCACCTGCGGACCCACCTCCCTGTGCACTCCAGGCTCCACCCAGACCACGCCCCCTCTAGGCCCCGCCCAACGGCAATCCAGCCCCGCCTCTAGCCCCCAGCTGGCTCCGCCTTTACTTGGTGCGGGCCCGCCCCTTCTTGCCATGGCCCCGCCCCCTGCCTCACCGCGCAGGCGCGTCGCGGCCGCCTCCCGCAGCCGCAGCAGGTGGTCCAGGTCGGGGCGGAGTGTCCGGTCCAGGGAGGCGAGCAGCTCGTCCTTCTCCGGCTGGAAGGCGCGCAGCCCGGCCGAGGCCGCGGCCAGCACGGCGCCGTGCACGGCGTCCAGCAGCTGCGGGGGGACACGGGGCGACCCGAGAGGCGGGGGTGACCCCAGAGGCGGGGGTGACCCCAGAGGCGGGGGATCAGGGGACTCGGGGTGACCCCAGAGGCGGGGGTGACCCGAGAGGCGGGGGTGACCCCGAGAGGTGGGGGTGACCCCAGAGGGGGTGACCCCAGAGGCGGGGGATCAGGGGACTCGGGGTGACCCGAGAGGCGGGGGTGACCCCAGAGGCAGGGGTGACCCCAGAGGCGGGGGTGACCCCAGAGGCGGGGGTGACCCCAGAGGCAGGGGTGACCCCAGAGGCGGGGGTGACCCCAGAGGCGGGGGTGACCCCCGAGGCGGGGGATCAGGGGACTCGGGTGACCCCAAGAGCCCGGGACCTGGCGGGAAGGCAGGGCCGGCCCTCAGCCCACCCCGGCGGCCCGGGCACCTCGGTCCAGGCCCAGGCTCGGGCGCGGCCAGCCCCTCGCAGGCCGGGCAGGCTGTGCGCTCGCAGCTCCGGCAGCAGCTCCTGCAGCAGCAGCGCCGTCAGCACCTGCCGGGGCGAGGGCGCCATGGGTGTCCGGCCCGAGGAGGAGGAGGACGGTCAGGCCAGGGCACGCTGGAGGGGGCCGCCGACTGACCTCGGCGTCCGAGCCCAGGGTCACGTCGTCATCACCAAAGTGGCCGCGATGCTGCCGGTAGAGGCGGACGGCATCCAGAAATGCGCGGGCGGCGGGGGCCTGGCTTCGCTGCAGCACTGGGGTGTGTGTGGGGGGTGGTCAGCATGCCCCCATCACACCCACTGACCACTGCCCTCCTGGGGCTCTCCAGACTGTAGCCATCCTGCCAGGCCTCGCTGCCCAGCTCTGGCCAGCTGCGTTTGTGTAGCGAATAACCTGCCCGACCATCTTGTCTCAAACTGTTTTTGTGCATAAGCAAAGGGTCCCCAGTGCCCCCCACCAGACCCCTGAAAGCCCGTGGTGAGCCCCACCTGTGGCCCGCAGGCGGATGCCACTCTGCAGGACCAGCCGCCAGGCCCTCTGTGCCTCCCGGGTGCCTGCTGCCAAGCACAGGTGCCGGCGGAAGGGGTGCTGCAGGAACAGGGGCCAGCTCACAGCTGTGTCCAGCAGGGCCTCTGGCTCCTCCGGCGTGGGGCCTCCTGAAGGCAGACAGAGGGGGCGGACCAGCCCAAGAGGGGTCGCTGGTTTGCTCCTAGCACCGTGTTAGGTGTGTTTGGGGCAGGTGTGTGTGTGTGGGGTGCGGGCACAGTAGTTCCCCTGCAACCCAAGCTCTGGTCCCCCCACTGCTGAGCCGGGAGCCCCGGGGGCCTTACCCGAGGTGTGCGGGCAGATGGCGTCCAGAAGCTGGAGGTAATGACACTGTGAAGTCAGGAGTGTGAACCCGGTCAGGGCGGCTGAGCCCAGGGGGCGCCCCCCGCTTTCGTGGTCCTGCAGCAAGGAGGAGGGATGCTCTGGGCCCTGGGCTGCCAGGCTCCCCCACTCACACACACACCTAGGAGCCCCAAGGGGGTCTTGAACTTGCCCAGGAAATCCATGGCCCAGCCCTCCCCGCCCCCGTCCTGTGAGCTCTCTCTCAATCCCAGGGGTCAAGGCACCGATCATGGCTCCCCCCTCCTACCCTGACCCGCTCTTGCTTGCCGGTCCCAGGTGCCACAGAAAGGGACTTGCAGCTGGGGGACCAGCTGCTGGAAGAAGTTTAGGCGCTGCACTGTGGCACAGTGGCTAAAGGGGCTAGGACCAGAGCAGGACCCCTGACCACGAAACAGGTACCAGGGAGGGTGGGGCCTGGACGTGGCAGGACACGGCCTGACCACGCCCCTGACCGTGACGCAGGTGCCAGGTGCCAGGGAAGGCTGGGCATGGAGGCAGAGGGACATGGCCTGACCACGCCCCTGACCGTGACGCAGGTACCAGGTGCCACACAGGGCGTGGCCTGCAGGTGGAGGGACACGCGCCAGCCACACCCTCATCCCGCCCCCACACACCTCCTTGTTGCTGAACCACTGCAGGAGGCCTTCCCCGCGCAGGACGCAGAAGACGGGCTGCCACCGTGGTGGGTGGCCCCGCAGCAACGTCAGGGGTCCTTGGTGCTCCCGCACGCGGGGCAGCTTCTGCAAAAAGGAAGGGCCGGTGGGTGCCAGGAGGCGGGGGTGGGCATCCCCAGGCCATCCCTGCCACCCACATGGCACCCCTCACCCCTGAACCAGTCACCCTGGTGGAACTCCACAGGTGTAAGGGGGTTGGGGGTTCTGGGCCCCAGGAAGTGGATGGGTGGGGTGGAGATTGAGCCCCTGTGTACCCAAGTCCCGGGGGCACACAGATGGGGCTGAGCTACCACAGCCAGGAGGTGCCAGAAAGGGAGAAAAACACAAGTGTGCATGCAAAGCAGATTCCAAGCACGGATCACACCTCTGCCCCCTCTGCGTGCCTCAGTTTCCCTGGTCGTCATAGCCCCTCCTTTCCCAAGGTGGTGAGGCCAGAGGCAGTCGTGTGAGCCCCACCAGGGCAGAGGGGGATGGGGCGGTTGTAGTGTTTGGTGGATCAAGGAAGACGTAGGAGTGGGGGAGGAAGGCTGGTCCAGGAAGGCGTCCTGGAAGTGGTGTGGTGAGAGAGAGCACAGCAGGCTAGCACACCCGTGGGTACAGCGACCCCAGGGTCTTGGCACCTGCCGGGCCAGTCTGCCAAGAACAGCCCCATCTGGCTTCAAATTCCTCCTGCCTCCCCAACCCTTCTGCCCCCCATCTCTCTTCCTCTTGGCTTCCCGCCTGGTGCAATGTGGTCGGTCACTTCCTGGGGCCCCCGCCCCCCGTAAGAGCCCCAGAGGACGCAGCAGGCAGAAAGTGCGGCCCCAGACACACCGAGCAGCAGGGTCTCATCTCTGGACAGGGTGCTGGGGAGCACGCAGCCTGGGAGGGGTCCCCGAGCGACCACAGGGTGGCCGTCCCAGCCCCATATGCATGCCCACCTTGCTGTGCAGTAGCTGGCACCCCACGGGCTCCTGGGGGTCCACCTCGTGGGAGATCTGCCTCAGGACAGAGGCCGCCAGCTGCCCTCGGTAGCAGGGAAGGAAGTCCTTCAGCAGGGTGTCCACCCGAGCTGTGGGAACACGGAACAGAGAGAGAGAGAGAGAGAGAGAGAGAGAGAGAGACAGCACGCTCCCACCCACAGCTTCACTCCCAACGCCCATGGCAGCCAGGACTGGGTCAGGAGTTCCATCCAGGCCTCCCACGCAGGTGCAGGGTCCCAAGGCTCTGGGCCGTCCTCCACTGCTTTCCCAGGCCACAGGCAGGGAGCTGGATGGGAAGTGGAGCAGCTGGGATTAGAACTGGTGGGACCTCAGCTCTTCCGGTTGCCCCCAAGGATGCTGTCATTCCTAGCTGTTTGGGTGACAAAGACTTCCGTGTGACCACGCCTCGCACTCCTGGCCACACAGGGGGCCAGGGCAGCCCTGGCCTCGGCTGTGTCTCGCTCTTGGAAGCCAGTGGGACCCCGGGACTGTGTCTGTACCCCTACCCCCTACCATGTGCTGCCACTCACCCCTCAGCTGCTGCTTCTGCCGCTTATCCAGGGGTCCCGAGAGCCGCCCGCCCATGCTGCCCTTCCCCACGGAGCCCCGGGGCCGCTGGCGAGCTCGGGGCGGCTGCCAGGAGGTCTGAATACGGCTTGGGCTCCTGATGGTGGTGGTAGGAGGCGGGTAGGGGGCACAGGGGCCCCCATCTGGTAGCCCCACCCTGCACCTGCCTCCTCTGCTCTCCCCTGGGGCCTCAACTGGGGGTTTCTCCTCCCAGGGCCCGTGGGGCGGCCCCTTGGGGAGAAAGAGGGGGTATGAGGGCAGAGCGGCAGGGCATGGCCCCTGGTGGGAGTGGGGTGGGGAGGGGGATGGGCAGTGGGCAAACCTGTGCTGGGTGAAGCTGGGCCCTCTAGGCTGCTGCGGACACCCCGGGTGGGGACCCTGAACCTCAGCCTTGATTTCTTTGCCCCTATCCTGCCCCCATCACCCCATCTCCACACTGTTCCCCAACAGGCATACATTCCGCAGACATGGAGACACAGACCATTGCCTGCTGGGTCCTGGCCAGATGCCCACCCCAACGGCCAGGGCCGGCAGCGAGGGGGTGTCCAGGAGCAAGCCAGGAGCAGGACTCCACCGGGGTCTCTCCCATGGGTGCAGGGGTCCGGGCTCTCGGACCACCACCGGCCGCCCCTGGGGTTACACACGCACAGGGAGCTGGGGTTGGGAGCAGAGCTGGGGCGAGAACAGGGGCACCCCAGGATCCGCGGTGGCCGCCTGGCTTCGCAGCAGGCAAGCACCCCAGAGGCCATGAAGAGTGGAAGGCTGAGGGGGCGGCAGGAGAGGGGCTGTGCCTGGCCACCTGCTGCTGCCCCGGGGGGGGGGGGGGAGCAGAGGGAGGGGGCTCCCCCCGCTGGGCTACTTCCCTCAAGCCCAGCTCCCCAGCTCCCCGCAGGAAACTCTTCTCTGTGGTTAGGGTTTCAATTCCCTCCCGCCTCTCCCCGCAGCTGCTCGCTGGGCCAGCCCCCACAGCCCACAGCCCACAGCCCACAGCCGGCCGGGGCACTCTGGTCTCCTTGCCCAGGGACCTGGGGGGGGTCCTGGAGGCTGCTCAGACCCTCTCAGCTCACGCCACAGGGCCTCGGCTTCCAATCCCAGCCCCGGCTCCTGACCCCAGCTCCCCCTGGCTAGCGGGGACCGCAGGAGGTGGCAGGTGGCGATGCCTGGAGGATCCACATCCCTGCCACCTGCATGGGCACCCGGATAGAGCTTCCAGTTGTCCTGGCAGGGCCGGCCTGGCCGCTAGCACCACGGCCTAGTGAGCCGGCAGACAGCTCTTCGGCACTCAAATAAATCAATCTTTAAAATAACCATTTTCATTCAGCTTGAGCCACCTGGGGGGACCCCCACCCTCCCCTCACCACTCCTCCTCCCGTCCCCACCAATCCTACAGCCCTCAGCGACAAGGACACAGCGGAAGCTTCCAGCAGCGCCTTTTAATATCCAGGTCCCGCAGTGGCCTGGCCCCAGCGGTTCCTCCAGGCACACTGGGTGCGGTGGTGGCAGTGGGGCCCTGCCCCGGCAGTCTCCGCCCACGATCCCAGATTCCCCAGGCAGTGGCTAGAGCGTGGAGTGTTTCTCAAAGGGCACAGTGAGCAGGCGCGCGGCTGCTTCGTCCAGGAACCAGCAGAGCTTGCCCGTGTGGGGCTGCACCAGCGCGGCGGGCAGCGGGTGGGGCTCGGCCTCCTCCAGGATGCGCTGCACGGAGAGGGGGTGCAGGTGCGTGAGGGCACTGACCTCCCCACGTACGGACAGGTATGACCTGTGACCCTTCCCCTCGACCCCACAGGCTCCCTGCCACGGCGGCTTGCTTGGGGCAGGTTTGAGTCCCGGCTGCTCCACTTCAGGTCGCTCCCTGCTCATGAAGCCAAGAAACAATGGGACACGGCCCAAGTGGCTGGGTCCCTGCACCCACGTGCTAGACCCGGATGAAGCTCCTGGCTCTGGCCTGGCCCTGCCCTGCCTGCTAGAGTTGGCCCCGGGGCACACCCAGGGGCCACAGTGCTGCCTCCTGCCAGCTGGCCCAAACCCTACAGCCATTTCTCATGGCCGCTGTAGCCCCTTTTCTAGGTGGGTAAGTTGAGGCTCCCCATGTGGAAGACTGTGCTGAGGACAACAAAGCCAGGAGCCAGGAGCTTCCTCCGGGTCTCCAACGCGGGTGCAGGGTCCCAAGGCTTTGGGCCGTCCTCCACTGCTTTCCCAGGCCACAGGCAGGGAGCTGGATGGGAAGTGGAGCTGCCAGGACTCGAACCAGTGCCCATGTGGGATGCCAGGGCCAGAGGCAGCAGGTTTACCTGCCTTGCCACGATGCCAGCCACCTTCGATCCTAATTGTCACTTGGCTTTACATTAGAGCTTGCTCTAATTCTAACCCTCTGGTTAATTTCTGCTGTGTGGATCCAGTGCTATGCACTGTCCTCTAAGTGCAGCTTTGGCTCCACCCCATGGTAAACATGGAGAAAGCGACTCTTTAGGTCTCGTACAGGGTCAGTTCCTGCCTGAAGCACTGCGGCTCCCTCCTGCCCTATGACCCACGGGGAGCTCAGCCACCTTCTGACCCGGGGGGCTCAAGCCCGTGCCCTGCCCTCGTGCCCTGCCCAGCACCCAATGCCGCCACCTTCAGCACAGCTGCCTTGCTTTCTCCCGTCGCCACAAAGATGACGGTGCGGGCCGCATTTAACACGGGCAGTGTGAGCGTCACTCGCTGTGGGGGAGGCTTCGGGGAGTCGCTGATGGGCGCCACAATCTTCTCACGCTCCTGGGCAGGGATGGAGAGATGACGTCACTTCTGCTTCCGGAACATACCCGGTGCACCCACAGGAGGCAGTCACCCCCCATGTTCTCACTGCCCCAGGCTGGTCGGAGACGGACAGATCAAGTCTCAAGCAGGTGGGCTCAGGTGCCAGAAGCCAACCAGAGCTCTGCCCCTCCCCACACTCCCCGGCGGGCTCCTGGGGCGGGGGTGTGACGTGTGGGAGCAATCTCCTGCAGAAGGTGCACACGGCTCACCTGCAGCAGGGGGTGATCCGGGAAAAGGGAGCAGGTGTGGCCGTCGGGCCCCAGGCCCAGGATGAGCAGGTCAAACACGGGGATGGGGTCGTCCTGGAAGGCCTGCAGGGTGGGACACACACAGTCAGCAGAAAAAGTCCCCGCCCAGGGGGGCGGTCTGCAGGCAGCGTGCTGAGGGAACAGGCAGAGGATCCGACTGGGTGTGGCAGCTCACCTGCCTGAGCTTCGCGGCGTAGTCCTCAGCCGCCGCCTCCACGGGCAGCTCAGGGTTGATGGTCAGTACCTGGCTGTCTGGGATGGGCAGCTGCGACAGCAGGTGCGTCTGCGGGGCACGGAGGGCAAGGACAGTGTCAGCCAGCCCCGAGGCCGCTGAGGCAAGATGGCGGGCGGAGGGCATGATCGGCGCGTGCCCAGTCACACACACGGGAAGGCCGAGGCCGGGATGGCAGGAGCGAGGGTCCCGACTCTGTGCCATGCACTTCCCCAGGTCGTGGGGGTCGCCAGCAAGAGACCCCGGCAGAGGAGATGCCTCAGCACCAGGGCCAGCACCGGACTCCCCCATTCGTGAGACCGACTGCCTCGCCCCACGCTTAGTTCCAAAGTCACCCCACATCTATGCCCGCTGTCCCAGAGCCAGGGGCAAGCGGGAGTTGAGGGTGTGCCACCTGATGTGGCTTCGCCCCGGCCCAGCCCTACTAGGAATCAGTACCGGGCCGTGTGACCACGGAAGGGGCAGGGCTCCAAGGGCGGCAGCCACCAGCTCAGCCCCCGGAAGCGGGGGATGCAGGGCAGACCCTGGCTCACAGCCTGGGAAGCGATGCAGCCCTTAGGACACCTTCAAAAACAACCTCAGGGGCTGATACCGTAGCAGAGTAGGCTAATCCTTCAGAGGCTAGCACCAGCATGCCACGTGGGTGCCAGTTCATGTCCCAGCTGCTCCACTTCCCACCCAGTTCCCTGCCTGTGGCCTGGGAAAGCAGTGGAGGACGGCCCACAGCCTTGGGACCCTGCACCCGCATGGGAGACCCGGGAGAAGCTCCTGGCTCCTGGCTTCAGATCGGCTCAGCTTTGGTCATTGTGACCACTTGGGGAGTGAACCAGTGGATGGAAGATTTCTCCTTCTCTCTGTAAAATTTCCCTTTCCGATAAAATTAATAAATCTTTTTAAAACTTAAAACCTCTATTTCCACGCATTTGAGAGGCAGAGAGAGATGGAGGGAGCGAGCAAGCTCGGCCCCTGCCAGTGACCAGGCTGGGCCAGACCAGAGCCAGGAGCTCCGCGGGGGTCTCCAGGGACCCCAAGCTCTCGAGCCATCACACGCTACCCCCCGGGGCATGCGTGTACATGAGGCCCGCTGGGCAGTGGGACAGACGGGACTCGAACCAGGCTCTCGGTGATGGCATGGCAGCTCCGGGTACTCCACGCTCTGGGTGTGCTGCACCTGCGGGCACGCGGACGGAGCCCTGGGCCTGGCCGACACCTGCGCGTCCATCTCCAGGCCGCCACGAGAACCTGCAGCTAAGGGCAGGAGCGTGGCTGCCAGCTCCAGAGGGGACACGTTCCCCGGGTGGGGCTGCAAGGGACGGGGTTAGGAAACCATCCAGCTCCACTGAGGTGACCTAGGGGGTGCAGCACCCCTCCTCTGGCCACAGCCACCATCCGCAGGACGCCCAGGTCAGCGCCCAACACACCCAGTTCAGCGCCCAGCACGCCCAGGTCAGCGCCCAGCACACCCAGGTCAGGGCCCAGCACACCCAGGTCAGCACCCAGCACGCCCAGGTCAGCGCCTAGTACACCCAGGTCAGCGCCCAGCACGCCCAGGTGAGAACCCAGTACACCCAGGTCAGCGCCCAGCACGCCCAGTTCAGCACCCAGTACACCCTGCCCTCCTGCGCCCAGCACGCCCAGGTCAGCACCCAGCACACCCAGGTCAGCGCCCAGCATGCCCAGTTCAGCACCCAGTACACCCTGCCCTTCTGCGCCCAGTACGCCCAGCACACCCCACTCTCCTGTGCCCAGGAAACCCCAGAGTCCAGGCACAGGCTGGACTTCACCGGATCCCTCGTCCATCCCTTGCTGCCCAGCGGTGCAGGATGGAACCAGCTGCGGTGCACACACACACACACCCCGGCCCCCAGTGGGCGTGGCTCGGGGCAGTGGGCGTGACCATAGCATGGGTGTGGTCGGGTGGGCGTGGCTCACACAGTTCCCAGTGTAGTGGGCATGTCCAGACCTCGCACGTGACCAGGAGGTGGGCGTGCCCCGGCCCCCACGTGGCCCGGCGGTAGGTGTGTCCAGGCTCAGTGGGCGTCGCCCGGCCTCACACGTGACCCCTGGTGGGCGTGTCCCGGGCTCACAGGCGCCCCGGCGGTGGGCGTGCCCTTCCCGGTGGGCGTGTCCCGGCCCCACGTGACCCGGCCGCTCACCCGGTACGCGCCGTACGTGCTGTCGGCGTGGTCGAAGGGCACGAGGCGCTCGTCGCAGAAGCCGAGCGTCCAGCGCGCGAGGCCGGCGGGCCCGGCCGGGGCGGCAGCGGCGGGCAGCTCCCGGGCCAGCAGGGAGACCAGGCTGCCGCCCGACAGGCCGAGCGCGAAGCGGCCACGCGGCCCCGCCAGGCAGCCGGCGGCGCGCTGGGCCACGAGCTGCGCGAGCGACGCGCCCAGCTCCTGCGGGCTCGAGAAGACCGAGATGAGGCCCGGGCCCGGCGCGGCCATGGCGACGGCGGCGAGGCCGGAAGCGCAGCCGCCGCGCACCAGTGCGCCTGCGCGGAGGCGTAGCCCGGCGCGGCCGTGGTGAGGGCGGAAGCACGGCCGTCGGGCGCCAGTGCGCCTGCGTGGGTGCTCTGGTCGGCGCAGCAGAAACGCATGCGCGATGCCTCGGGTGAAGCTTCGCCGGGCACTTGACCATTGATTGATTGACCTTAGGTGCCTGATCAGCTTTCTGGGTTATCGGGACGTCCGGGGGGCGTGGTTTGAGATCGGGAATATTTGTTAATGTCTGCTGTTGGCTGTCTATTTTACCTTTCAAGTAAATCAATCAATTTTTAAAGAATGATTTAAGATTTTATTTTTATTGGAAAGTCAGATACACAGAGAGGAAGATCTTCCATCCATTGATTCACTCCTCAAGTGGCCACAACAGCTGGAGCGACGTCAATCCGAAGCCATGAGCCTCTTCTGGGTCTCCCACGCAGATGCAGGGTCCCAAGGCTGTGGGCCGTCCTCCACTGCTTTCCCAGGCCACAGGCAGGGAGCTGGATGGGAAGTGGGGCAGCCAGGACTCGAACCCATGTTCCTATGGGAACCCAGCGTGTGCAAGGGAGAAATTTTAACCACTAGGCTACCACGCCAGGCCAATAAGTCAATTAAAAAAAAAATGAAGCTGGTGGCCAGGGCAGCCAGCGCATGTCCCCAAGTGGGGTGCTGCCTAATGCTTGCTGTGAGTCTGGTGGGGTCCCCCCACTCGGGGCCCAGGAAAGCTGGCCTCTCCGACACTGTGGGTTCATTTCTCAGGATCTCTTGGTGACAGGTCCTCACTGGTTCTGTCTCTACTGACCTCACACCGCTGCCTGCCGGAGAGTGGACAGGGCGGTGGGCAGCGACAGCCAGGCTGGGAGCCACCGATGAGGACCACAGGGACAGGAGAGCCACAAAGCCACCAACGCGGGGCTAGGGCATGCCTGATCACACTGCCAGGGTGAAGTGCCCCGAGCTGGGCCCCTTGGGGCCAGTGTCGTGGTGGACACAGTCCATTCTGGAAACTTCCAGGGCTTTGAGGGGATGCCGTGGTCCTGGAAGACTGGGCACAGGATTCAGACATGCACAAGGCAGATGGCTCAGGCTAGAGAAGATGCCGGTCCCTTGGGGGCTCCTTGGTGACCCCGCTCCCCTCATTGCAGCCTGCGGGGCCGGGCAGAACACCCCTGGCCCCTCGAGGGAGAGGGCTTATAAGGCACAGCAGGGTGGGACCCAGAGAGACCAAGGTCCCCCACCTCGGCCCCTGGAGTGGGGGTTGGGGGAGCCAGGAGGAGGACAGGGAGAGATGAGGCCACAGGAGTGTGAAGGCAGGAGGCAGGCAAAGGCTCCTGCGACATTCCAGTTTCCCAGCCCCACCCAAGGGACCTGGGCCAGGTGGGTGCGTGGTGACATGGTGTGGGGAAGGGGAACAGCCCACTCCCTCCTACTCTGCTATGAGCCCCCCAGCCAGGAGGCGAGAGCCTCAGAGGGCAAAGGCGCCCGAGCAGATGCGAGTGTAGACGGCCTCATCCAGGGGCAGGTAGTGGCCCTGCTTGAGGTCCAGGAAGTAGAGCCGGTCCGAGGTCTGGCGTGGGTCGAAGCCCTCCCGCTGCAGTCTCGTCTTCTGGATTTTGAAGGTGCCTGTGGGGGGAGGCGGAGGTGAGGGAGGTCACAGGCTGGACAGGGGGCTTCCAGGAGCTCCCACACCCCCCAGACTCCATCATCACCTCCTGGATTAAAAAAAGAAAAAAGTGGGGTTTATTTGTAACATCATTGGCCTCCGGAATGCGACGTAGCAGGTGGGTTTTCAGTGAAGGGCCTGGGTCCAGGCAGGCTCCCTCTCTGTGTCTGCTTCAGGCTCGCCATGGGGTGCTCTGCCCCTCCACTCCCCACAGCACAGCCCCATCCTAAACCATGAACCAGAACCAACTTTCTTCCTCCTAGCTGAGCGGACTCGGTGTGCACACACCCAAGACAACACACACAGAGAACTGGAGAGTTAACTCCTACGCAACAACAAACTCCCAACAATGGAAAACACACAAGCCAGCGCAAACAAGGGTGAAACTGTGCCAAGGGACTGGTGACCGGAGGGGGTCTTAAGAAGCGTGAGGCGGTTTGCACACGGTAGGAGTTCCTCCCAAGGGTTCATGCAGGATCCTGCGCGTGGCATTGGTAAGATGGTGAGGCCTTTAAGAGGCGAGGACTAGCGCATGGTCATTAGGTTATCCAGGGTGCTCAGCAAGCAGCATTGTGACTCTAAGTGGCTTTTAGTAACTGGCAAGACCACCCAGCTCTCCCTCCTTCTGGCGCCTGCTCCCACTACCATGCTCAGCCACCAGGGGGTGCCCGTGCAAAGCCTGGTGCCACACTCGCCGACCTCCCACTTCCCAGACGGGTGAACTAAAGAAAGGTCTTTCCCTTTAGGGATGAGCCAAGTCCCTGGCAAGACGGTGCAAACAGACAACGGGCTGAATACGCCAGTCAGCAGACAATCGCAGAAAATGGCCAGGTGCCTCTGGAATGTGGGGGTGGCAGGTGGAGATGAAGAACCTCCTAGGAGAAGGGTCCCGCCTGGGCCCCCAGTGCAAGCCTGTCCATCAGACACGGGGCAGGGATCTGTACCAGGACAGATTTGGGCCTGGTTCAAGTCCCAGCTGCTCCACTTAGGATCCAGCTTCCTGCACATGTGCCTGGGAATGTAACGGAGGACGGCCCCTGTGCTTGGCCCCTGCACCCGTACGGGTGACCTGCATGGAGTTCCGGGCTCCTGGCTTCAGCCTGGTCCAGCCCTGGCCACTGCAGGTACCCCTGAATGGAAGACTATCTCTCTCTCCACCCTGTGAATACATAAATGTGTCATCCCTTCCAAAAATGGCACCCACAGCTGCCTGGCAGGGGAAGCGCACCTGTGGTGTCCACCTGGGGCAGCAGGCGCAGGAAGATGGGTCGAGCGTAGGGAGCCAGCACCTTCTGCAGCTCCACGTACAGGGCGTTGGGGTCCAGCTGGACCTGCGGGTCGGCAATGGCTGCCATGCCTGCCTTTCCTTCCACGCCTGGGGACAGCGGGGGCTCAGCTGAAGACGCCCGGCCACCCCCACTGACCAGCCAGCCCCCTCAACGGCCTCTCCCTGGTCACGCCCCATGCTCAGGCTAGCACTTGCCACAGCAATCAAGGCCCATGGGGCGCTCCTGTCACACCCCCTGCTCTCCCAATCCCACACAGAGCTTGCGCCACATCTGCGAGACTGACCAGGCCCACCCAGGCCACCACGTACAGCTGCCCAGGCTGTGCACTGCCCAAGAACCCCTTCTGGCTGCGTCCCGGGGTGGAGGTGGGAGCTGCCGCACTCCAGGACCACTCCCCGTCACCCCAGCTTGCCTGGCACGGCCACCCCGTACACGGCCACGTCCGTCTGGCCCAGCAGGCGGCTCAGCACGCCCTCCACCTCCGTGGTGGACACATTCTCCCCGCGCCAACGGAAGGTGTCCCCGCTGCGGTCCCGGAAGTACATGTAGCCCAGCTCATCCATGACCAACACATCGCCTGGCAGGACGGCAGGGGAGACGGCAGGGAAGGGGTCGAACCTGAGGGGCTGGGGGCTGGCTCCCGAAGCCCCTCCCCGGCCAGCCCCCAGGGCGCACCTGACAGGTAGGCACTGTCGCCCTTGCGGAAGACGCTGTGCGCGATCTTCTTGCTGGTGGCGCTCTCGCTGACATAGCCGTCGAAGCGGCGCAGGGGGTCCTGCTGGTTGATCTGACCCACCAGGAGACCGGGCTCACCTGCCGGGGAGCCCATATGCTCAGAGGTACCCCCATGGAGAGAGGGGGAGGGCAGGACCCCTCGGCACGCTCCCCACCCAGTGCCCCTGGGACCCCGAGCTCACCGGGCTCGCAGGGGACGCACAGGCCTTGGGCATCCCGCAGCAGTTCCATTGTGTCTTCGCTCACCTTCACCAGCCGGATGGGGTACACGTGGGTGAGGATGCGGCTGTTGAAGCCACAGGAGCCGACCTGGGGGGGCAGGGTCAAAGGGTCCCTCCCACTGGCACCGCTTGCCCTGCCCCAGGGCTGCCATGGTGGGAGCCTCCACCTGTAGTTCCGCACCCCGTATGCCTAGTTCCAGCTACTCCATGTCTGACCCAGCTCCCTGCTTATGCACCTGGGAAAGCAGTGGAGGACGGCTCAAGGGCACAAGGCCCCTGCACCCACGTGGGAGACCCGGAGGGAGTTCGGGGCACACAGAATGGAATGCCAGTCCTCAGCACTGGCTTTGTTATCTTTTTGGAAGGAAGAGGATGCCCCCCCCAGCGAGGGGGTGCAGGAGGAAGAGCCAACAGCTGGTGTCTGTCTTGACCTCAGACACCTGCTGGGGAGTGCCCCTCGGCGCCAGGCAGTGCCCAAGCAGCCGCAGCCGTAGCCAAGCGGAGAAGCCGAGCCGCGGGGAAGGAGGGCCCAGGAGTGGCTGATGCCCCCACCAGCCCCAGGGCAGGCAGGCCCAGGAGTGGCTGAGGCCCCCAAAGTCCAAGGGGGCAGACCCAGGAGTGGCTGAGGCACCCACAAGTCCCGGTGGGCAGACCCAGGAGTGGCTGAGGCACCCACCAGCCCCAGGGCAGGCCCAGGAGTGGCTGAGGCCCCCTCTGTCTCACCCGCCCCTGTGGAGCCCCCACCTTCCCATCCATGTTGGCAATGCTGCAGTTGCACTCGGTGGCTCCGTAGAACTCCCCGATCTGGCGCACCCCGAAGCGCTGCGTGAACTCCTCCCAGATGGCGGGCCGCAGCCCGTTGCCCACGGCCAGGCGCACGCGGTGGCGGCCCTCCGCCTCCCGCACCGGCTGCTTGAGCAGGTAGCGGCAGATCTCACCGATGTACTGCACTACCTGAGGACAGACGTCTGTGGGACCAGGGCTGGTGCGCCCGAGGCTCCGCCTCCCCCAGACCCCACCGGGGGGCCCTGGCGCTGGCCAAGGAATTGGGAGATACAGTCCAACCATTTCTCCAGCCCTGAGGCAGAAGGTAAAATGCTCACTGGGAGCCCCCTGCACCTGCCCAGCTCCCCCCAGCCCACTGGGAGCCCCCTGCACCTGCCCAGCTCCCCCCAGCCCACTGGGAGCCCCCTGCACCTGCCCAGCTGCCCCCAGCCCACTGGGAGCCCCCTGCACCCGCCCAGCTCCCCCCAGCCCACTGGGAGCCCCCTGCACCCGCCCAGCTCCCCCCAGCCCACTGGGAGCCCTCTGCACCTGCCCAGCTCCCCCCAGCCCGCCCAGAGGCCCCCTGCACCCGCCCAGCTCCCCCCAGCCTGCCCAGGCCCCCACAGGCTGGCCAGGTGCCCCCAGCCCGCCCAGGCCCCCGCAGCCCGCCCAGGTGCCCCCAGCCCGCCCAGGCCCCCGCAGCCCGCCCAGGGCGGGGCCTCACCGTGCAGTTGTACTTGACACAGTCATCCCAGAAGCGGCTGGCTGAGAACTTCTTGCGGAGGACCACGGTCAGCCCGTACAGCAGGCACTGGCCCACACCCATGATGTTACCTGTGGACACAGATGCGTGCACGCATGCAGGGGCCTCGGTGAGGGCTCAGCTTCCCTGGCACCTGTGCCCCCACGCGTGTGCGTCTCCCCGCGGTACCTGCCGAGTGGTACAAGGGCAGGCAGTCGTACAGCACGTCGGCCGTCTGCATGCGGTAGGCGTGGTGGCCAAAGGCGGCAATGCGGTAGTACCTGCAGGTCAAGCGGTGGGGGAGAAGACGGGATGGCCGGGACTAGGGGACCGTTCTGGTCCAGGCTGGGCACTGTCCACAGGACGCATCCGTGGTTGGCCAGAGCGAGGATGGAAGGTGATCCAGCCAGAAATATGTAGAGTGGGAAGGAGCGACGAGGAGGGACCAGCTTGTGCAAAGCTGGGGTGGCAAGGCAAGGGTGTGTGGGGGGGGTAGGCGATGCGGGGGGGTAGGCGAGGCTTGGCCAGCTGTCCTGTGGTATTTGGAGCTGTGTGGGACGGAGCAAGGAGGGGGTGCAGAGGGGCCGGGGCAGACCCAAATAAGAGCAGGAACAAACCACGTGATTGACCGCAAGTGGGGAGCCAGGACACACAGCGGCAGGGAACAGAGATGGATACACGGATAGTGGGGTTCGCTTGGGTGCGGGCGGGGGCACTGGGGCATCGTCCTCACCTGCTGTGCACCACAATGGCGGCCTTGGGCAGCCCCGTCGTGCCCGACGTGTAGATATAGAACAGACGGTCTGTAGGAGACGCGGGGGCTTGCGTGGGGGACCAGGGGCCCTCTCCACGGTCCCTCCCCGACTGCCCTCCCCTGCCCTGGGCCTCACCGTCCATGCCCTTGCCCGGGGGCTGAGGCACAGGCGTCGTGGGCGCCTCAGCCAGCATCGGATCCAGCAGGCGCGTGTCCGGCAAGACGCCCTCCGGGCCCGGCTCGCCCGTGCAGAACTTGACCAGACTTTTGCCAAGCTGCTGGGTCACCTCGGCCACGGCTGCAGCTCCACACCAAAGTCCCGGTTACTGCTGCCAGCGAGGCCCCCCCCAGGATTGCCCCCATCTCGCCACCCCTACCCTGCCCCTGACACACCATGCCCTGCTGGAGTTGGTGGAATTGGAGGGGGAGGGGGTCCCAGCCTCACCCGCTGCCAGTTCCCCGCCATAGATGAGGGCCTTGGCACCCGATGTGCCCAGACAGAAAACCAAGGGCTCCCGTCGCAGGTTCACGTTGAGCAACGCGGCCACCATGCCCGCCTTGGCCAAGCCCAGCCATAGCCCCACGAACTCGGGCCGGCCCTCAGCGAAGATGGCCACTACGTCGCCTGGCGCGAAGCCCAGCTGGCAGAAGAGGTGGCCCACGGCGTTGGAGTAGGCGTCCAGCTGGGCGAAGGTCCAGCACGCACCGCTGCCCGCGTCCACCAGGGCCAGGCGCTCCGGGTGCCGCCGCGCCACCGCCTGGAAGATGCGGGGCACCGTGTGGCCTGCACGCTGGTGTCGCCGCAGCTCGAGGCGCACACGAATGAGGACGGACAGGCCGCTGCAGGAGGCGGGGAGGCAAGGGAGAGGCGTCAGTGGTCCATCACCCACAGTGAGGGTCCCTGTGGGATCTAGAGCTGACCCTAGGCTGCCTGGGGGCGGGGTGGGGGGATGCTGGATTTGGGGTGCTGGCTCCAGTCCCAGGAATGTGACAGGTGGCAACACCACTGACCTAGTGGCACTGCAGGAGGCGGGTCCAACCACCTCCTTGCTTCTCTTGGAACATCCCAGCATCCCACAATGACCCCCTGGCCTCACAGCCTTCAACCTGTATTATTATTATTATTAATTCAGGAGGCAGAGAGCACCCACCTGCTGGTTCATTCCCTAGCTACCTACTACAGCTGGGCCAGGCTGAAACCAGATGCCTGGAGCTCCATGCAGGGTCTCCCCATGGCTGCCAGGAGCCCGCATACTTGAGCTGTCACCTGCCTTCCAGGGAAGATCCAGCTCCCTGCCTGTGGCCTGGGAAAGCAGTGGAGGACGGCCCACAGCCTTGGGACCCTGCCCCATGTGGGAGACCCGGAAGAGGCTCCTGGCTCCTGGCTGGCTCAGTTCCAGCCGTTGCAGCCACTTGGGGAGTGAAGCAGCGAATGGAAGATGTTCCTCTCTACATATTTTTCTGTCTACCTTTGTTTTGAATAAATGAATAGATCCTTAGAATAAATGAGTAAGACGCCATTGTTCTTAATTGCATGCTGCATGATTTTTAAATTTTACAATTTTTAAAAGTTGCTTTAAATGGAGACATCCGAGTGTCATAGCACAGGAGTCTGAAACAATTTTTCCCCCAGCAGCTTTGGGTTCCCTGCCTGGCTTCCCTGGCCCACGGCCCTCATGCGCCCAGCAGCCCAAGCCAGCTCCACACTCCCAACAGCCCACATACCAAACTCCAACTCTGGCCCAGCTGGGTCACCTCCGCCCCCGGTGCTGCCCTTGGCTCCACCCCTTCCCAGGGCAGCCCACCTGGGAGACCCCAGAGAAAAGACGGCCACCTGCCAGATCCCAGCAGGGACCCCTCCCCAGGCCCTGGACTCGCCTGGGCCTATGAGCTAAATAAACTCAGCCGTGCCCGCCACTACGGCCACCAGGAAGGAACATCCATTGATGAAGAAAAACACAACAACAAAAAAAACTCAAAGGAAGCATCATTCATCCCCTATTCACTCATCCCTTCCTTCCTTCCTTCCCTCCTTGAACCATCTTCATTCATTCATTCCCGACATCATTCATTCCTTCCTGCAAACAGCCACTCCGAGCCAGGAGAGACAGCGGCATCACGGGGGGGTGCCAGTTACACGGGGAGCGCCAGGCCCTGAGGTGGGAGGGGCGGGGCACCGCTGAGGGGCCAGCATGGAAGCCACAGTGCAGGAAGCAGGTGGGGAAGGGGGAGCAAGAGGGTGTCTGGAGGTGCTGGGACCCTGCCTCCCCCGGGACCTTCGGAGCCCACCCCCCATCAGGCCCCAGGAGTCTGCCGTGGGAGACAGGAGGGCAGAGTGCAGCCGCTGGTTGGTATGGAGGTTTTCTGAGGCTTCCTGCTTGGGTCAAACCACTTCCCCTGTAAACCCTGGGGTGGCCCCACCCCCACCCGGCTTGCCCTTGACCCTTGGGGTGCTGAGAGCTTCGTGACTCAACTTTGCAATCCACCACGTGCCGTCCCTCACGCCGCCACACACACACACACACACACACACACACTCACACTCACACACACACACACACACACACGGCCTTTCACTGTGCTCCTCTGGGAAGCCTCCCAGGTAGCCCCCCGTCACAGCACAGAGCCTCTCCCCACAAACAGGCCGCCCCAGGCCAGCTGGGCACTGGCTCAGCTAAGGGGGAGCTCTTTTGTCCCCCTGAAACTCCCCAAGCCTGCCCTGTCTCCTTTTCTTTTTAATTCTTTCTTTTTTCTTTCTTTCTTTCTTTAGCCTATCTGACAAAAAAGCAGCACACACACACACACACGGAGAATTTTCCACCCACTGGCATTCCCAAGTGGCTGCAATGACCAGGACTGGGCCAGGTTGTAGCCAGGAGCCAGGAGTCTCTCCCGGGTCTCCCACGCATGGGTGCAGGGTCCCAAGGCTTTGGGCCGTCCTCCACTGCTTTCCCAGGCCACAAGCAGGGAGCTGGATGGAAAGTGGAGCAGCCAGGACTTGAGCCGGTGCCCACAAGGGATGCCGGCATCATAATAACTACTTAACCCATTGTGCCACAACGCCGGTCCCCCACTCCGGCTCCTGACCCCCGCCTCCTGCTCAGGCGTACCCTGGGAAGCAGCAGGAGACGGCTCAAACATCTGGGGTCCCTGCCACTCACCTGGGAAACCCCAATAGAGCCCCAGGCTCCCTGGTGTTGGAGGACTCAATCAGTGCATGGGGGAGACTGTTTACGTTTCAAATTTTTAAAAAAACAGTTTTGAACAAAATAATGGATGCAAATGTTCCCGTCCTCTGCCCACACCGTTCCCAGGGCCGGCTAGGCACAGCTCCTCTGCCCACACCGTTCCCAGGGCCGGCTAGGCACAGCTCCTGGGCAGGCCAGCATACCACGCCAGTCCCCACCCAGCCCAGTGATTTGATTCCATTCATTCTGCACAGATGAGTGGAAAAAGCCAGCCAAGTGCAAGGGCAAGGACGAATCCAGGAAGGTCTCCATGGCAGGTGGGGCTGGCTGAGTTGGGAAGACCTAGAGGAAGCAGGACTGGAGGTGTCGGATGCAGGGAGGAGCGGGGAGGAGCGGGGAGGAGCGGGGAGGAGCGGGGAGGAGTCCTCCCCTGTCTGGAGGGGAGCAAGCGCCCAGGACCCGCCGTGCAGGTGTCTGCACGTAAGAGACTCCCACGCCTGGGGCGCCTGCCTGCACGAGGCCACTCAGCATCCTGTCCCCTATGATTCAGCTGGCGGGGCCGCAGCGGGTCCACGGCTGGTCCTGCGCAGCCTGGGTCCCAGCGATGAGTCCGTTCATGCCAGCCAGGCAGCCTGCCTCCCCGCCCCCACCGGGGTCTCTTTGGAGGAAGCGGCCCACAGCTTTGTCCCAGCTGTGTGCCTGGGCGGGCCCCGCCTGGACTGGCCGGGGGCCCAAGCCACCCCCACCCTGCAGACAAAGAGCCCACTGTGCCGCCTCCTCGCCCTGCCCTTCCAGAGGCCTCCCCTTTGGGCCAGGACTGCGGGGCAAGGGCACCCTGAACAACAAGAACTAACTCCATCTATAACTCATCCGGTTTCGTGCAGCTGGGGCAGGCCGAGTTAGAGGAATCCAGGGGTGGGGCACTGAAATATGTCTGGGGTCTTAACTCGAATCCTCCCCACCCTGATGGTGGGCTCAGTCTGGAGCCCCGCCCCTGCCACACGCCCCAGGTAGGGGGCAATGGCGTCACCTCTCTGGGCCTCAGTTTACCTCTGCAAAATGGGACTGGTTACAAACTTTGAGGTGATTCAAGCCAGGGGCATTGGGTGGTGGTGGTGAGGGGAGTTACCAAGCTGTGAGCTACTGTGCCCACCCCAATAACCCGGCAAGAAGAACAGGCACCTCTCAGAGCACATCTGGGGGTCCGGAATCAGGGAGAGGGAAGTTAAGTCACAGCTCGGGACACCCATGTCCCTGCCCCTCGAATCTGTCATGTCTCGGCTTCCCATCCAGCTCAAGGGCAGCAGGGGGTGACCCGAGTGCCTGGGCCCCTGCACCCACGGGGGAGACCCAGCCGGAGCTCCTGGCTCCTGGATGCAGCCTCGCTCAGCCCTAGCTGCTGCGGGCATTTGGGGGACGAATCAGCAGCTGGAAGATCTCTCTCTCCCTTTCCAACTCTGCCTCACCCCTAAGGTGAGGCCCTGGGTTGAAAAAGCCACAAGAGAACAGACACAGAAAACCATGAGGATCATGACAGGCGCGGCTGGGGGTCAGCCCGAGTTCTAACCCGGCCCCCCTGCCCAGCTCCGGGCACACGGGCACTTCCTGGCAGAGCAGACACCTGCCTCCCTGGGGAATCGGGGCTCGGTGGGGTCACAGCCGCCTGCCCCCCACCCTACCCCTCAGAGCACAGCGTGGGTTCAGACAGGCTGTCACTGCAGGCTTGCTGCAAGGTGACATTAAGAGCCACCCCAATCTCCCTAGAGCCTACTCCTCCCCCCCCAGGGACCCCTCCACCAAGCTGTGCCCTGCGATTCCCATCAGGGGACCCCAAGGCACCCCCTTTGCAGGAGCCACCCCTGCTCAAAGCCCAGGTCCTCCCAACTTCCCAAGCTCTACTCCCCTAACCCCATGGCAGCTGGACCCCTACCTTCCCGAGCTCGGCTCCCCCAGCCCTCAGCCGGGCACCCCACTTTCCCTCAGCCGGGCACCCCACCTTCCCCCAGTCGGGCACCCCAGCCCTCAGCCAGGCACCCCACCTTCCCTCAGCCGGGCACCCTACCTTCCCTCAACCGGGCACCCCACCTTCCCCCAGCCGGGCACCCCACCTTCCCCCAGCCGGACACCCCAGCCCTCAGCCGGGCACCCCACCTTCCCTCAGCCGGGCACCCCACCTTCCCGAGCTCGGATCCCCAGCCCTCAGCCGGGCACCCCACCTTCCCTCAACCGGGCACCCCACCTTCCCTCAGCCGGGCACCCCACCTTCCCGAGCTCGGCTCTCCCAGCCCTCAGCCGGCCCCCGGGCGCCCGATCCCACTCACAAGAGGTCCCGCCTGGCCGTCTTGCAGACGATGCGCAGGAAGCGCCAGCCGCCGCCGCCCACGTAGACGCCGAACGCCGCGGCCGCGCTCCAGGTCCACGGCAGCCCGAGCAGCCACAGCAGCGCCCCGGAGGCCACGCAGGCCGCGCCCGCGCCCGGAGCCCGCATCCTGGGACAGCCGACGGCTGAGGCCGCGGCCCGCCCACCGCAGGCCCCGCCCACCGCGGGCCCGCCCACCAGGCAGGACGGCCCGCCGCAGCCCCGCCCGCGGCCGGCCCCGCCCCGCCCCGCCATTGGCCAGGCCGTGTGGGCCTCCGCTCGCAGGCCCGCCCACCGCAGGCCCCGCCCCACCCGCCATTGGCCAGATCCCAGCTAGTCCCCGCCCTCCGCCCCGGGTTCCGCCCCCTCCACACCCCCTCATCCTTTGGCTTCCTGCCACTCACTGGGCCCCGCCCCCCACGCAGGCCACGCCCACGAGCGGGCCACGCCCCCGCCTAGGGCCGGCTCTTTTCTGGAGGCCTTGACCATTAGGAAACGCCCCTCAGGCCAGAGGGACGGCGACCAACGAGACGGCGAAGGCTAGACTGGCCCGGTGCAGCGTCGTTGTCCCCATGGCAACGAGCCCGGGCCCGCCCTCCTCCGCTGCGGGTGCGCACGCGCGATGCGGGGAGCTCCGGGCCCGAGCCCTAAATGGCATCGTAATCCGGCCTCAAGCAGTATCCGCCCGCTCTGGAGTCTCGCCCCGCTTTGCCCTAACACAGGTCCCTTTCCCGAGCTCCTCCGGCCCTCAAGGCTCCTACCGGGGTGACCCCACACTCGGGCTGCAGCCCCCAGCCTGCCCATGCGGCCTGCTGACCTGCTGACCTGGCCTCCCGCAGACCCTGGGCCGGCCTGTCCACTCGGCCTGCTGACCTGGCCTCCTGCAGACCCTGGGCCAGAGGCCTCCTCGGCTGGGCTCCCTGCCCGCCCACCTGCCCATTCGGCCTGCTGACCTGCTGACCTGGCCTCCTGCAGACCCTGGGCCGGCCTGTCCACTGGCCTGCTGACCTGGCCTCCTGCAGACCCTGGGCCGGAGGCCTCCTCGGCTGGGCTCCCCACCCGCCTGTCCACTCCGCCCCGCACTCGCTCAGTCCCAGACCTGCTTGGCCGACCTTCCCGGCACTCTCCTGGGGCCCTGGCCAGCGCGCGCTAGGAACCCAGGGCTGGGCTGACACACCCCTCCTGTGATACACACACACAGGGCTGATGGGGGACAGCCCTGCAGGGGGACAGGGCAGCGACCACCCCTCCCTTGACACAGACACACACAGGGCTGATGGGGGACAGCCCTGCAGGGGGACAGGGCAGCAAACACCCCTCCCCCGACACACACATCCAGGGCTGGTTCTGGCAGGCACCCAGTGTTAGAGGATGCCCAGCAGGGGCATGGGGACTGGGCAGCAGCCCCCCATCGGGGCAGTGACCACCAGCCCTTTCCACCAGGAAGCAAGATGCGAACTTTGCGTGTCATGCCACCCCGGGGCAGAGGTGTGTTAGTTCCTTCCCCCACTTTGAGGACCCTCTGCGGGCTCTCTGCCCTCTGCGTGAGCTGTTTGTGCAGCTTGCAGAGCCCCCACAGACCGCACCTGACCCTGCACTGGCTGGTGGACTCCAGAATCAAGTCTGAGATCACCCCAGGCCAGGTTAGAGAGACCACTGGGCTCAGAGTCCAGCGACAGGGAAATGACAGGCTGTGTGGTCCGACCTTGGAGTGCATGTATCGTATCGGGACTGGGCCGCCTCAGCTGCTGCTGCCTGTGCGGTGGACAGTATGTCCAGATGCACACGGGGACATGACAGCCAGCACATCCAGGCCAGCAGGGGACGCCAGTTTGTCAGCCAGGAGCGGCCCCCTCTGCCCCTCCTCCCTGCAGACAGGAAAAAAAAATTCATTTGAAAAATGTGTCCCACCCCCCTTTCTCCATATCTGACCTTCGCCACCCTAATCAAGGGCCACGTGGGCATGCAGCCCTCTCAGCTATGTAAAGAATATTAAACATAAAATGAAACATTTATTTATTATCCCTCGTTTTAAAATAAAGCACTTTTTAATAAAAAGATCTATTTTATTTTTGTTTGAAAGGCCGAGTTACAGAGGACAGAGAGAAAGATCTTCTGTCTGCTGATTCATTCCGCAAGGGGACACAACGGCTGGAGCTGAGCTGATCCAAAGCCCGGAGCCTCTTCCGGGTCTCCCACGCGGGTGCAGGGTCCCAAGGCTGTGGGCCGTCCTCCACTGCTTTCCCAGGCCACAGGCAGGGAGCTGGATGGGAAGTGGGGCAGCTGGGACTTGAACCTGAGCCCCTATGGGATGTAAGCAGCTTAGCCTACTATGCCACAGCAACACTGAGGTTTTGCCTGCTTTGTTTATTTATTTATTTACTACACTTGGAGGTCCCCCACCTGGGGCCGCCCCCTCCCGCCTCTCCTGTGTCCTTGGCTGGGAATTAAGCCGATTAGTGACAGCCTAAGCTGACCTCCCGAAAACTCCCCTGCGCAGGTGCAGGGTCAGCCCCGGGCCCGGCCATGGCCTCCCTCTTCTACGGCCGTGTCCTCCTCCGGAACAACAGCGAGCAGGACGCGCTGGACACGGAGGCCGAGCTCAGCCGGCGCCTGGACAACCGGCTGCTGCTGCTCTTCTTCGGCTCCGCCGCGTGCCCGCAGTGCCAGGCCTTCGCGCCCGTGCTCCGGGACTTCTTCGTGCGCCTCACCGACGAGTTCTACGTGCTGCGCGCCGCCCAGCTGGCCCTGGTCTACGTGTCCCAGGACCGCACGGAGGCGCAGCAAGAGCTATTCCTCAGGGACATGCCCGAAAAGTGGCTCTTCCTGCCCTTCGAAGATGACCTGAGGAGGTGAGTGAGGCACGGGACAGGACGCAGGGCTTCCTGGAGGTGGGGCTGTCCCGGCGGGCAGGTGTGATAAAACAGCTAGCTGGAGCCACGCTAGCACACGGCTTCTTTTGTTTTTAGATGTTTATTTATTTTTATTGGAAAGGCAGATATACAGAGAGAAGAGAGAGATTTTCTGTTCATTGGTTCACTCCCCTCGTGGCTGTAACGGCTGGAGCTGAGCTGATCCAAAGCTAGGAGCCAGGGGCTCCGCCCGGGTCTTCCTTGTGCCTGCCCAGGACCTCAACCACCGTCTCCTGTTGCCTCGCAGGCTGGGCATGAGCAGGGGCTGGGGCCAGGCCCCCTGGGTGGGTGTCAATGGCAGGCACACAGACCTGCTCAAGTGCACATCCCAGGCAGCCGCTCCGGCTGGTCGAGGCCCTGGGGTGCGAGAACAATCAGATAGCTGGGAGACTGGGGTCCTTCCCCGGTGCAAGGGGTGCAGGGCCGGCCGCTGAGTCCCTTTGCCGCCCCCCTCAGGGACCTGGGCCGCCAGTTCCACGTGGAGCGCCTGCCTGCCGTGGTGGTGCTCAAGCCGAGCGGGGACGTGCTCACGCGTGACGCCACGGCCGAAATCCAGCGGCTGGGCCCGGCCTGCTTCGCCAACTGGCAGGAGGCCTCGGAGCTGCTGGACCGCAACTTCCTGCCGCCCGAGGACCTGGACGACCCGGCGCCCCGGAGCCTCACCGAGCCGCTGCGCCGCTGCAAGTACCGCGTGGAGCGGAGCCCGCGGGGCGCGCGGGGCGCGCGGGAGGAAGAGGAGCACAGCGCGGAGGGCGCGCCCGGGGACCTGTTCTGATGGCCCTGGAGAGGGGCGAGCTGGATCTGGGGTCGTGGAGTCCCCCCGGGGGGGCCTGGGAAGGGAGGGAGGAGAAGCTGGGGAGCCCACAGTGTCTTCAAGTAAAGTGTAGGTGCTTGCTCCTCCACCGCCCCCAGGTCAAACCGCTTGCATTGCTCTAAGGGCTCCTGCCTAGCCACCGGGTATGGTAGCGTGCCCCACGAGGAGGTGGGACTAAACATGCAAAACTGACCCGTCCATGAACAGGCAGAGAGGACCTCAGTGTCCACCCACAGAGCCGTGGGTGCCCACGCACACGGCGCAGTATCAGCCGTGTAAAGGCAGCACCCACCCCTGCTGTCCCCTCTTGGGTGAACCTTGGCCACCTGACGCTGGGGGGACAGGGTCCGGCCACGCAGCAGCGTGGATTCCGTGGGCAGGACAGCATGTTCGGAGCAGAACGGGATGCAGTGGAGTGCCTGCTGGGGAGGCTGAGTGGCCATGGCTGGAGTGGGGTCTGGCAGGAGAGGGGTCACATAGAATATTCTGGAAGCATTGGCAGGTTCTGGGTGCACCAGCATCGTGAAGGTACTGGGTTGGGGCCAATTAACAAAATGAGGTTTTTTTTTTTTTTTTTTTTAAAACCAAGTTCGCCGTGCCCTGGATTCGAGTCCTGCCTTTCTCATCCAGCTCCCTGCTGAGCTGCAGTGTGGGAGACAGAAGTTGTGGGTCAAATCCTGGGGTCCCTGCCACCCCACAGGGGAGCTCCGGCTGGAGTCCCAGGCTCCTGGCTCCTGCTTAGCCGGGTTGGAGCTGCTGCAGGCGTGGGGGGGAGTGCAGCCCTGCACGGAACATCATCACTGCCTCAAATAAAGATCTTAAACAACAAACTTGCCTGCAGTTTCTTCCCCTTAATCAACAGGAAACCGGGGTGCTCTGGGTGACACGCCGAGCAAGTTTTGGGGAGCCAGCCTGTCCGAGGCCACACCCTCCCTGCGGAAGCCCACGCCCCTCGCAGCGCAGCTGATCCGGAGGCGTCTCCCGCGGGGTTCCCCAGGAGAGGAAAAGTTTTGGTTTAAGTTTTGGCCGCTCCGCACTCCGGGTCCCCCGCCCCTGCTACCCGCGCACCCCTCTGCACCCCAACCAGACCCTGCCGGCTCAGAACCCGCGCCCCTCTTGGCGCGCCTTGCTGGGCTCCCTCCGACGGGGGCCCCCCATCTCCCCTGCTGCCATGGAGCGCTCCTACGGCGGCAGGGTGCTGGCCGCGCTCACCCTGCTGGGCCTCCCCGCCGCGCTGCTGGCGGCACTGGGCGCGCAGCTGCTGTTCCAGCTGCAGGCGGGGCGCGCCGAGCTGTGGGGGCCTCGGGGACCCCGGCTGCTGGACCCCGGCCCAGGGCTGCTCGAGGACGCGGCCGGGGCGCTGCTGCCGCTGGCTGCGGCGCTGGCTGCGCTCGCCCTGGTCCTCGGCCTCACCTGCCTGTTGCTGGCCGCGCTCTGCGGCCACCTGAGCGCTGAAATGGCACGGGGTCCCGGATCCAGCAGGTAGGAAGCCTTCCCACCAAGCCTTCCCTTGGCCTGGACTGGACAAGGCGGGGCAGCCCCTCTGTGGACCCTCCAGGGTGGGGCGGAGGGGGTGGGGACAGCTACCCTCCCTAGCCCCTTCCTCTCTCCAGCTCTCCTTGCTCTGCATGTTACAGCAGTTGCCAGGGTCTGTGTGTGAGAAAGCAGGCTGGGAAAGAGGCTCTGGGTTTGCCATTGTGGGAACCTCACCTGTCTCCTGCCTGCTGTCCCTTGCGTCCCACCCTGCATCGCCCCGGCTGCAGGAGGCGTCGCCAGCCGCTTCTCTGTGAACTGCACAAACACTTTCCAGATTCTCTGACTTGGAAGGCAATTGTGAGCTGGCTTTGAAGTTGATCCTGGTGGAATTGAGCCTGTGACCTGGCTTGGGCTGGGGCGTCCTTCCCCAGGGGTGCAGCTTTGGAGGTGTCCCAGCACTCGGTGGCCTGGGCACGGACCCAGCCCAGACCCTGCACCCTGCACTCAGAGGCCCCTGAAATGCAGGTGTGCTCAGTCAGCGACAGGTGTGGGGCACCTGCTTGGCGGGGAGAGGGGGGCAATGCCGGGCAGCAGAAATGTCCTTTTTTTTTTTTTTAAAGATTTAATTATTTTTATTGGAAAGGCAAAAAAGATGTATAGAGAGAGGGAGAGCGATCTTCCATCTGCTGGTTCACTTCCCAAGAGGCCCCAACGGCCAGAGCTGAGCTGATCCAAAGCCAGGAGCCAGGAGCCTCTTCAGGGTCTCCCACACGGGTGCAGGGTCCCAAGGCTTTGGGCCGTCCTCCACTGCTTTCCCAGGCCACAGACAGGGAGCTGGATGGGAAGTGGGGCAGCCGGGACACAAACCAGTGCCCATACGGGATCCTGGTTGTTGAAGGTGGAGGAGTCATCGTACCGGGCCCAGCAGGGATGTCATACAGGGTCACAGGCAACAAAAAAAGCCAAGCAGATGTGTGATGTCACACGCTGGTGCCTGTTGGGAGATAACTACCCCAGGGCACAAGCTGCACTCTTCTGCTCATCTCCCAGAGAGGCTGTGCTCTGTGACTTCATGGAAGCCGGGTGTCTGGGCATGCGCCACTGTGGCTGCTGTGTGGGTGCTGGAGGTCTGAGTGGAAGGATGGGAGGTGGACAGAGGGAGGACAGATGGAGGGAGGCATGGGGCGGAGATGGAATGAGAGCGAATGGATGGGTGGATGGATGGGTGGATGGATGGGTGGGTGGATGGATGGACGGGTGGGTGGATGGATGGATGGGTGGGTGGATGGATGGATGGGTGAGTGGGTGGATGGATGGATGGATGGGTGGGTGGGTGGATGGATGGATGGATGGGTGAGTGGTTGGTGAGTGGGAAGACATGGAAAAGTGGCCGCACATAAAGCAGGTGGGTTTTAGTAGATTGCACAGATGGTCACGTGGGGGGTGGGTGGATGTAAGAGCTGCCGCTTGGGAAGGTGACAAGTTGGCCCTCTCCTAGCTCCTGCCTCACGCAGGCTTCCGTCCCTCCCCCTCCTTCCTGCCCTCCCCATCCTTAGCTCTGTGCCCACCTGCTGTCCTCCTTCCCAGGTCCGACTGGTTCCTCTACGACTGCCGCCTGCTCAGACACGTGGCCCTCGGCTTGTTCTGCTGTGGGGTTTCCGTCTACCTGGCAGGTGTGTGCGAAGGGCTCAGGCAGAGGGAGTGGGGTGGGGCGGGGCAGTGGCCGGGGTTGCTGCACCCAGCTCAGCCATGCAGCCAACCTGCCCTGGCTTCGCGGTGCCTCACAGGACACCTGAGGGGATGGCTTCGTCCTGAGGAGATGGTGGGGTTGAGGGAGAACCTGACCCCAGGAGGGTTCCACAAACAGTAGCCCTCCAAACTCTGCTTGAAACTGTGTTTCTAACTTAAAACGTGATTTGTTTTTCCTAAGCCACTTTGTATATTTGTAACCAAAGCAGGTGTTTTTTTTTTTTAAGATTCATTTATTTTTATGAAGAAAGCAGACTTACAGAGAAAAGGAGAGACAGAAAGATCTTCCATCTACTGGTTCACTTCCCAAGTGGACACAATGGCCGAGATGAGCCGACCCAAAGCCAGGAGCCAGGAGCTTCTTCTGGGTCTCCCACGCGGGTGCAGGGTCCCAAGGCTGTGGGCCGTCCTCCACTGCTTTCCCAGGCCACAGGCAGGGAGCTGGATGGGAACCAGTGCCCATACGGGATTAGAACCAGTGCTTTGGTATGAGATGGCTTAACCCAATGCACCACAGCACTGGCTCCAAAAACTCTATGTTTGAAAGATGTATTTAAGACCTTATTATTCTTATTTTTAATGGGGACATGAGCCTCCATCCCATTAATAACTCTGGAATTAGAGTCGGTGCAGCAAGTTGTGTATCTGAAATTGTGCAGGGTGCGGGAGAATGTCGGCTTCAGGTGAGGCTCGATCCAGGTGCCATGGTGCAGTCCTGGCCCTCCATCTGGTCCTTCCGCTGTCTCGGGAGTGGGCTCCTGTCTGACCAAGCCACCTCTCTCTATAAGCACTTGGCAGGGCTGACACACACTTGGAGATTCCGCCTTCCTCCCTGGGTGGGGGAGGGAAGGAAGAACTCGATCCTGTTTAAAACATGAGCAGGCTCACCCAGAGTGGGGCGAGGGGCTGTCCAGGGAGAGGCCGCTTGCCTGCCCGCTCACATGTTTTTGGAGCAGATGACTCAGTACGGGAGAATGTCCCAGCTCATGCTGCGTTCACCCCGAGCCACAAGAATCATGACACAGGTCCTTGTGAAAGCCTTTAGCCGGGAGGCGGATAAAGGGCCTTGAGCGTCCCTGGCTGGGTGGCAGTGCAGATGGCAGATAATCGTATCCAGGAATTCCCAGTATCGGGGGAGCCCACCTGCCATCCAGCTGCCCACCCATTTACACCTGCCATTGACCATCATGGCCACCCCCAAAGACGCCAGACAAGGCATCCCAGAACGTACCTGTCAGTGCTGGGCTCTGACCAACCACTGCCCAGCGGGAACAACCAACACACACAAGATTCCCTTGTCCCCCCAGGGTGAAAGCCAACATCCCAGGGCAGCTTCTGATAGGCTGAGCTGGGTCAGGTGGTATTCCTGCACCCATCACTGCCAGGGGAAGCAGCTGCGCTCTGATTGGCTGAGCTGGGTCAGGTGGTGTTCCTGTACCCATGGTGGCCAGGGGAAGCAGCATGACTGGCCCAATCTGGTGTTATTAACACATCCCTGTGGTCCAAGAGGGGGGTCCTGGTGGTGGGTTGAGTGGCAGGGTGGGAGATGGGGCTGGTGGACCATTTTTCCCCATGAGGACTCAGCTCTGGGCACCCTCGGGGGTGCGAGGGTCTCTGCTGTGTCCCCCCATGACACAGCACACAACCTCTAGCTGTGTGGTTTTGTGGGGAGCCGCACACCTCTCTAAGCCCCCACTCTAGCAAATGCGTGATGGCTAACTCACTGGCCGCCGTTTCTTCCCCCAGCGCTGGCCATCTACGCCCTCCTGCTCTTCGAAATAGAGACGGGCGCTGCTGCCGCCTCCATCCTGGCTGCAGGAGCCCTGGCGCTGGTGGCCGTGCTGACCCACGCCCTGCTCCGCGCCGCCAGGGCCACGCGCCATGGCTTGCCCCCACCTGCCTTCGAAGAAGAGCTAGCTCGCTCTGGCACCGACACCTCCAAAGCCAGCTCCCATGCTCAGCCCCCGCAGGGTAGCCACCGCCGAGCCCCCTACCTGCCCTATTCGGAGCCCCTGGCCACGGGCACGGCACCTGCTGCCCTCGGGGGAGGCCGGGAGAGCGGCCTCCCCGTGTCCCGTGTGCACCGGACGCTGTCGGCTGGGCTGGGACCCTGGGACGGGGTGACCCAGGAGATGAAGAGCATGTTGGGTCACCGGCCAGGGGTCAGGGGCAAGGACTCCACGCTGGTGTGAGCCGGGGGGCTGGGGGAGAGAGAAGCGGTGTGGGGCGGCCAGAGTAGGCTGCTACAAAGACAGGTCCTAGCTCAGCAGCCAGAGCTGGAAGATTTGGTTGCTCTCCAGTGTCACAACAGCCCCGGCTTTTGTCCTTGAAATGGCCTCACAGTCCCAAAGTGGCTACCAGGGCTCCAGCCCTGGGTCATCTGAAAGTCTCCACCCTTCTAGCCAGAAAAGAAGCCCATGGCGCCCCGACCCACCTCCCTACACACCTGGGGTGTAGAGGGGGATCCTGGAGGGGCGGGGAGGGGAGGAGGAGGGGAGGTACAGGCCCTGATTCTCTAAGCCGTCTCCGTCCATTTTACAGAGGAGACGGAGAGGCCCCAGGAGAGGCAGTGACTGGCCAGGACACCCCGTCCTGAGCGCCCGAGCCGAGGGAGACTCCCGCCTGGGCCCCGTAAGCCTGCACCCCCTTGCTGTTGCTGCCCCTGACTGTGGACCCGGGAGACCCCACGTGTGCGAGCCCAGAGCTGCCCAGGAGTACAAGGGGGGCAGGCAGAGGCCCCCCGCAGCCACACTCTGCCACGGTCTGCTTGTCTGCTCCCTGGGGCCAGAAGCCACCCATCCCTAGCACTCCTGTGAGTGTGCACGCCATGGGGCCAATGACCTGCTCTGCACCTCGTGCGCTGGGGGAGTGAGGTGGGCATGGTGCTCACCCAACTTCCAGGGTGGGGCATGTGTGACAATGGAGGTGGGGGCTCCCCGAACCCCAGCGTGTGTCATGCAAATAAACTTAGCTGAGGGTAAGTCCAGCTTGGCTGCACCTTCACCCCAGGATCCTGCCATGCATTCCCCCTCTTCCCCCTGGGGCCCAGAGGGATTCAGGATCGGAGATTCCTCAGCCCCTGAGTAGCTGGGGACCCCCTTTTCCGGCAGGGAGTGGGACTGGTCCCCAAGCGTCACCCCAGAAAGACACGCCGTGCCACCTCCCAACTCCCAGCTCTAAATGTCCCCATTCCGGAATTCTGCAAGTTGGCCGCACAGGGGGCAGGGGCACCGGCAAAAGCAGGTTCTCAGGGGCCCCCTGACCCCCGGAGCTTGGAGGGAGGCCCGGGAAGGCGCGCCCCGACCTTCCGTGTGGCTCTCCTTACGCCCTGGGAGCGACATCAGGGAACAATGACGGGCTTTCTTTCCCTCTTAAAAAAAAAAAAACACCCTAACAAAACAACAGCACGGCACAGAAGGGCCCTTGTCGGGGTGTCTGCGCTTGGGCCAAGTTCAAGTACAAGTCAGGGAAGCTCTGGGCTGTCATCCGCAGTTGGTGGGGAGACCAGCACACACACACACACCCACCTCGCAGCCCCCCTGGCAGATCACCTCCCTGCCCATTCCCATTGCAACAGAGTGGAAGACTGAGGCTGTACAGTGGCACAGGGGCACCAGCTCTGGAGCAGTCACTCAGGGAGCTTCTGTCTCCTCCCACCACCCCCAGAAAGACTTCATGGGGAACCCCAGCCCAGCCCGGCCCTTGCTGAAAGCTGTCCCAGGCCTGGTGAGGGTGGCAGAGGGCTGTGTGACGGGGCTTGGCGTCTCGTAGGGTGAGGGCCTGGCAGAGAGCAAGGCCAGATGAGCACCATTCTCGAGGTCCCCCTCTCCGCCCCACCCTGCACCCTCCCTGAGCCCCACTCCCTCCGGCCACACACAAATGCCCCGACACTCGATCCAGGCCAGCTGCAAAGCTGCTGGAGACAGCAAGCGCCCTGGGCTCCCCGGGGTGGGGTCGGATGCTGTGGCCAGCGCCGGCGGGGTCTGGGCGGGCCCTGGCCCAGCCGGGAACAGGTGCAGGACACCTAGCTTATCGAGGGCCCTGGGGGAGCAGGCCAGGACTGGACCAGGAGCCAGGAGGCAGGGGCTCCCTCCAGCCCCCCTCTCGCTTCTCTCCATCTCTCTCTCCTGACCACACTACCTGGGGCCTTCCAGGTGTATTAATAGGACCCAGAGTTGCACCCCACCCGGTGGGATGGCCTCTTTGCCATGGACAAGCTCTGTAACCCTGACGTGTATCTCACGGTGCTGTGACAGCGCCGAAGGAAGACACCCCAAGGCAGGACTGTGGGTGGACAGCCGCGTGTCCCCAGCTGGCCCCACTGGGTCCATTCCTCCACCACTCTGCTGGCTCGTCCTCGCCTGGCCCCAGGACTCGTGCTGCAGCGCCACCTGGTGGCCCTAAGGGCGCAGCACTCGCCACAGTGGACACTTGGGGTGTCCGGCGGCAGTAGCAGGGTGCCCCGGGTGCAGCTTCCAATCCAGCTCCCTGCTCAGGCGCCCCCCGGGAGGCAGCAGGGCACGCCCCACATGCTTCGGTCCATGCACCCCCATCGGAGACCCAGATGGAATTCCTGGTCCAGCCATGGCTGTTGTGGAATCTGGGGCATGTATTAGCAGGTGGAAGACCTCTCTCTCTCTCTCTCTTCAAGAAGACAAAAATCAATACTTTGTAGGAACCCAGCATCTTTCTTTAAAAAAAAAAGATTTATTTATTTTTATTGGAAAGGCAGATATACAGAGAGAAGGAGAGACAGAGAGATCTTCCATCTGCTGATTCACTCCCCAAGTGGCCACAACAGCCGGAGCTGAGCTGATCCGAAGCCAGGAGCCAGGAGCTTCTTCTGGGTCTCCCACTCGGGTGCAGGGTCCCAAGGCTTTGGGCCGTCCTCCACTGCTTTCCCAGGCCACAGGCAGGGAGCTGGGTGGGAAGTGGGGCTGCCGGGATTAGAACCAGTGCCCACACCGAATGCAGGGTACCCTGCCCGTGGCTGGGCCAGCCCTGTCCATGTTCCTTTTCACGCCAGCGTGTCAGTAGCGCCCTTGAGCAGAATTGGGGTCTCCTCTTGGGGTGTCCCACTAGCTGGAATAGTGATGTTTTTTTTCTTTTCCAAACCTCCAGACAGAGCTACTTGGCTTCCTGTTCAGACCACAGACACCCCCCTATCCGGGGTCCTCCCGTCCCGCGGAAGAAATCACCCGACACTTGAGAGAGTCTCCAAGGCGCTTTTATTCTGCTCCTCCGTCCCGTCGTGACCGTTGTCCGTTGACCGTTATCACCGTTATATCCGTTACGCTCCAGCCCCTCCCCCGCCAAGCCCCCCGCTTAACTGTCAAACTTGACCAATCAACTTAAAGAGAACCAAGGCACACCAATCAGGGCAAAGGGCCAATCACAGGGCAGGAAATGGTCAGTGCCCCCAACAGCTCCCCCTTCTTGTTTTATTAAGCAAGGGACCGTGCCTGTCTTAGGTGTTCCGAGTTCAGGCTCCCCTTACCCATCATGGGCTAACCACGTGGCTAGGAACGTGGCACCTGTCTTAGGTTGGTGAAGCCATATCGGATACTTACCCGTCTCTGGCTACCGGTCCAGCATGCCTAGCCAGACTTTTAGGGATTATCTGCTGTGAAGGGCAAGCACAGCTTGCACTAGCAGCTGCTGTTACTGCTGCTGACGCTGTGCTCAAGGATGAAGCATCCACAGACCCCAAAGAATGATATAAGGCCCATGGCTACTATACCAGCCCATTGGTGTGCAAAGGAAAGATCCTTTAGTATGCAATTTGTCCATTGCTTTACTGTGGCAATCTCTACTTTTGTCGTATGGACCAGCTTCCACTAGGGGATAGCGTAGCGGATAATTCTCTGGACAAATTCAGTGCTCGGGAACCATTGGTGACAATAGAGGGAGTGACACACATTCCAGGTAGACTAAGCACACAGGAGGTCCCCATATGATGGAAATAAGTTGTGGAATGCGTACCAGCACCACAGTGCCAGAGCCATTCCAACACTGGTTAAGGGCTCACTTAACTACAGAGCAATTAACAATAAACATAAATGGAGCTTGTACACATACATAAATAGCATTATAGATAACATAACAACTGCAATTAACTTTAACATTTTCTTCCCATATTCTAGAACTACTACTACTATAATTACAATTTCTTATCACTACCTTATCAATAAATGCAAAAGCTGATATATCTGAACACCCACCCCTATTAGTGCAAAGTACCCAGACATTCCAAGACTGAGCAGAAACAGATTGAACAGGGTTACCGTATATATAGTTATACCCCACAAAGGCACAATTTGAACAGGTAGGAAATAAATTGGTCACAGCAAGATCAGGTGCTACTCTTCTAGGAGTCACAGTACTTTGACAGCAGTCTATTCTGGGGGCCATTTCCAAGGCCCTAGACAGCGAGTCAATATTTGCTGCACACCTTTTATGGTGCAGTTTTAGCTGGAGATTCTGGTTGTCTCCTCTCGGTATCTGAATGAACATCAGGCTGGTCAGCATCCACCACGTCCACAGGTTCATCTTGCTCCGGCTTTCTTATCACTCGCGTCAAACGTTCTGGCACCCACACCGGTCCATCAGAATCCTGCGGAAAAACACAAACCGCTCCTCGCGTCCGTCGTAAGACAGGATGCGGGCCCATCCATTGTTTTGTTAAAACATCCTTCCACATCACCCAATCTTTGCAGGGGCCTGCGCCAACAGTGTGGCGTTCGGCAGCAGAATGGCCATCCAAATCCAGAATCAAAAAGTTAAAAATATAAGTAACTAAAGCCAATTGATGTTTAGGACTTTTGGGATATAGGGTGGCTCCTACTCCCCCTTTTTGTTTTATTAATAATGCTTTGAGAGTTGCATGGGCACGCTCTACCACAGCCTGGCCTGTGGGATTATATGGGATGCCAGTAGAGTGTTTAATTGCAAATTCAGAACAAAATTTATCAAATGCTTTGGCTGCATAGGCAGGTCCATTATCAGTCTTATAACACTGGGGGACTCCCCAGGCTGCAAAAGCCTGAAGGCAGTGAGATATAACATCTTGAACCTTTTCCCCTGTATGAGCTGAGGCATAAAGAACCCCAGAGCAGGTATCAATAGAGACATGAACAAAAGAAAGGCGACCAAAACTGGGAACATGGGTAACATCCATCTGCCATATATGATTAGGCATAAGACCACGGGGATTAACCCCAAAGCAAGG